ATTGAATTAAAATGCAATTCAATTCAATTCATGATTTAATTGATTTTCTCTTGTTGTTCCGGTGAAAACAATTTATCCACCATCAGATAAAGTCAATGAAAATTGTACACACATATGGAAAAAAATTCTATATGGCCAAAAAAAATCGATAATAATAATAATAATAATGATCATGATCATGATCATGTTGACATCCACCAGAAACGAAATTCCTGGAAAGAATTTTTTTTTTCTACACACAAAGAATTTTTCAATGTGCCACTTCATCATCATCATCATCATCAAAAATTGAAAAATGATTGCTCAATGTGGCCATTAAAACGGAATTTCTGTTTTTTTATTGTTGATTGATATTTGAATTTTTTGACACTACTTTCTGAAATTTTTACTCAAAAAAATGGCTAATTTTTTTTCTCATGCAAAATGCATTCATACATTACAAGTACAATACTTGAAATGATGATGATGAACACTTGAAATGCCGAAAAATTTTTTTTTTAAATCTTCATCATCATCATCGTCATCATTATTATCAATATTTTGACAAAAAACTTTTTCATTCCGTTTTTCTCTCTAGGGTATTCTTTTGTTTTGGTTTAAAATTTTGATACAAACACAAATATGATGAATAGTGAAAGTGGTTACTTTTCATTTATTAAAACTGATTTTCTGTTTTGTTTTCATTTCATCTTAAAAATTAAATTTTCTTGATATTCAATTTTTTTTCTTCTTCTTCTTCTTCTTCTGGTGAATTTGTTTTGGTTTTTTTTTCATCTTTGTTCATTCACCGGCATTTTGAGTTTCGGCAACAAACAGAACTAATTTGGTTCTATTCTGTATGCTTGAACAAATTGCCAATTTCACAATGAAATGAGCAAGAAAAAAAAAAAGAATGAATAAATGAATGAATGAATGAATTCGGTAAACACTGAAGTTTTTGAAAAAATTTTTTTTTTTCATTCAATAAAATACAAAACAAAATTCACACACACACACATTGCTAGAAATGATTGCAGAAAAAAAATCAATAATATGAAATGAAAAAAAAACAATTCCGGTAAACAATTTTGATTTCAAATTCTGCCAAGATAGAATTTATTTATTGCTTTTTATTCTGAAGAATTTTCAATTTTGAAAACGTTTTTTTTTATTCATTTCATAAATGAAAAAAAGGGTTAACACAACCATTGTGTGGTGGTGGTGGTGGTGGAAACATATTTGAATTTTTAAATTTCAAATTTTGATTGATAACAATTTAAATGCTAATATATCAATGATGATTGTCGTTTTTTTTCTCTTATATGCCCAAACCACACAAATTCCGGATAACCGGATTCGGATATGCATTAAAAACAAAACAAAACACGACAATATGAGACATTTGAAACCGATTGATCAGTTCACATATATGATAATAATATTTTTTTTGTTCTGTTTTTATTTTCATATCCGGAAATTCACAACTAGAGCGGAAAAAAAGTCATATCAAAAGCATCATATCACTATTATTATCATTTGTTCGCACAAATAATGAAAAAAAAACACACAGATTCTAATATATATCTACATTCATCAATCTTGATGGAATGAAATAAAATGAAATGAAAAAATTCTTGTTTCTTTATGTATATTGTGGTGGTGTCGGTGGTGGTGGTATACTGGTAACCGATGATCCAATACAATGAATGATTGAATGAATGAATGAATGGAAAACAATCAAGAATATGTCTAGATAATCAAACGAGAATATAATCCACAAATATAATGATGATGATGATGATGATGATGATTTGGTTCAGTTTATTGGCATATGTTCACAAATAAAAATTGGAAAACAGAAAAACTTTTGTTCAGTGGGTTTTTTTTTCATTTTATTTTGTTTTGGCATTCCATCGGATAAAAAAAACAAATACACAAATTATCAGATCGATAAAAACAGAGATTTATTCATTCATTCATTCATTCATGGTCATTATTTTTGGCCTAATAATTTTTGGTTTTTGTATTGTTTCTATGGAATGTTTTTCGATACATTCGATTGGCCAATATTGAAACAAAATCTATAACATTTTGTGCGCGTGTGTGTGTGTTGTTAGGTACAAAAAGCAAAAAAAACACGAAATCAATTCAAGTATTTAACGAAAGAAAAAGAAGAAAAAATTCAAAGTTATAGAGAAAAACAGTGAGAGAGAGAGGCTGAATAGAATTTTTTTTTGCAATTTTTTAACGATCTCTGATCATCATCAATTCCCCACCAGCATATACATATATATATATATAGTTCACTAATTGGCTTATTATGAGAATTTTTTTGTAGAATCAGAGAATTCGCCTTTTTTTTGACTGGCTTTTGTTTACTACCAACGAATTTTTTTTTCTTCTCTCTTTATACCCAAAAAAACGATAGAAGATAATTGGACCTCATTGAATGATGTCATCATCATCATCATCATCATCATCATCATCCCTACATCCGAACAGCATTGATTTTTAGTTTAATTTTCACAAAACTATTCATATTTCCAATGTTTTGTGTTTATATTTCAAAAACGATACAACAACAACAACAACAAAAAGAAACGTGTTTTTTGGTCTGTGTGTGTGTGTGGGTATGAGTGGATCCTCATCATCATGATGAGATTTAATTATTTTTTCATCATCATCATCATTGTTGTTGTTGTTGTTATACGAAATCAACAATCAATACTCACGATCAATGTTGTGGATAATAAAATCAAGATCGAAAAGATAGAAAGAGAGAAAAAAAAAAAAACGAAAACGAATGAAATCTATTCCATCTATCGATGAAATAGATTGGCAATACACGATATACAAACGTAAATCAAATTAATTAAATTGCTTTGCAACATTTCAAAATTTTTTTTTTCGTTGTTTTTATTGCAAATTTCTTACTTTCTTATAATTTACAATTATTAATGATTTATATATCTAACGATAATGACAAGATTTTCATTTAGAATCATTGAATGATTATAGATGGTAGAGTGTAAATATCGATTTTTTGGTCCCAAAATTCAATCAATAGTAGCAGTAGCAGTAATTGGGAAAAAAAATCCAGATCAGAACAACTTTGTATTTTGACAATTTCATATGGATCGAGCTCATTAGGTTGTAGTTTTTTTGGCATCAAATAAAACGAAAAAAAACGACCTGAAGCAAATATTCATGGCAACAACCAAACGATTGATCATGAAAGAAATTTTTTCTTTCTCCCATCTTATCCTACATGTGATCGATTTTATGCCGATCATCATCATCATCATTAAATAGGCAATTTTTTTTTCTCTTGGTAAAAATGTTGAGCTGAGAATATGAAAAGAATCGAGAAGAAGAAAGAAAAGGAAAATCCATTTTTGTGTGTGTGTGTGTGTGTGTTCAGGTATTATACACAACATTCAGATTCCTCATCATCATCATCATCATTATGGTTATCCGGTTTATTATAAAAAAAAAAATTGAAATTCTGTATTTGCGTACGACATGTGCACCATTGCAGAATTTTTTCCAAGCAAATAATGTTTTTTTTTGTTGTTGTGAAAACACTAAAAACAATTTTTTCTGCCACCGATTTTTTTTAGTTTTCAAAAATTTAACCTTTTAAAAAACATGAAAACATTCATTCTCGATATATAATTTTTTTTTCGTTTCCTGGTGTATATGCATGTGTGTATAGTTCATTTTTTGTTTCTTCTTTGTGAACGAATAAATAAATGGCATATAAATCAACAACAACAACAAAAAAAATGATGAAGAAAATTATGGCGAAAACAAACCAAATGCAAAACAGATGCACATTACACACACACACACACACAAAACCGATTGAATCAAGTGTAAAGAAAAATGTAAAGTAAAAAAATGAAATAAAAAAAAATCCAAAACAAAACAAAAAAAATCTCATGTTCCGATATTGTGTGTGTGTGTGATCCATTATAGAATCCAATGTTATCCTTTTTGTTGTTGTTGTTGTTGAAACGACGTGATTTGAATTATATGCTCGTGTATGTGTGTGTGTGCGTGTGACAAGGAAACGTGGAAAAAAATTTGTTTTCATCATAAACATTCATGAATCGACAAAAAAAACCGAATCGATTGATGTCGAATGATCGAATTCAGATGTTTATAAGTGCAAAAACATTTTTAAAAATAGATTGTTTTGTTTTGTTTTTTTTACCATTTGAAGCCTAATTAGAACTGCCCTTTGGCATAATACGAACTTATCATCTTTATATAACACTTGTATAATACGGTGGTCCAATATTTTTTCGAATGAATCAATGGAAAATAAAATTTCGTTGTTCACTTGACATTTTGTATTGTTTCTATTTTCCAAATTCTCTTTCGATTCGATTTTTTTTTCTATTCAATCTAACGATGATGACAAATAATTGAACAATTTTACTGTTCAATTAACATTTTTATTGAAATTCGTTGCTGTTGTTGTTGTTTGGTTTCAACTTTCAGTATTTTCTATATGATTGAAATGGAAAAAAACTTTTTTCTCGTTTCTTTTCCGACCAGTTTATGGCTTCAGGAACATTATAGATGACTGGACACACACACACACACACAAAAATTCTTCTGTTCAATCGGTCAATCGATTGTCGTCGTTGCTGTTGTTGTTGTTGTTATTGTTGATGACGATTTTTATTTGCCAAGTTCAAATTGAAAATTTTTTTTAATGTCAATTTTTTTTAAACAATTCAATGACACAAATTCAATTCTTACAATTCATTGCAATTCTTTCTTGTTGTTGGTATTTTGTTTCTCGTTTTAGTTTTTTTTTTGCTGATGATTGCTGGATTTTTGTTTCTATTCATTCTGTTGTTGTTGTTGTTGTTGTTGCTCGTTTATTCTATAGAATCTAGAAAAAAATGAGAAAACAGAATTTCAATATATCATGAATGAAACGAAAAAAAAAGAAATTATTCACATTTTTTTGCTTTATTCTTTTTCTTCTTTTTTTGCATTTTTCATAGTATTCAGGCCACAAAATTCCACTGAAACAGCACCAGATGATGATAAAATGATGGCTGAAGCGGCTAAAACATTGACATCACATGAACAGCAACAGCAGCAGCAATCATCAAATTTAACAAAAACAACACCAATTTCCAGATCTGGTAGTGGCAGTGGTGGTGGTGGTCATCAACAAAATTTTGAACCAATTGTCGATACATTAGAAGTTTGTGATAAAGCGGCAGCACGGTAAGTGTGTTTAATTCATTTAATGAATGAATGAATAGCCAACCAGAATGGTAAACAACACATTAAATTGTCGTCAATTGCACTGGAAATATTTGAAGAAAAAAAAACAAAGAAAAAAAAAAGAAATTGAAATTTTGAAATTCTTTTTTCTCGGCCATGTTTAAGATTACTTTTCATAATTAAAAAAAAAAGTTTTAGGACTTTCTTATATCGTACACTTGAGAATATAAACAGACAAACAGACAGGCAGACACATTAAAAGGAAAAGATGGCCAATTTTCACCAGTACCAGAATCATCATCAACTGTGTATAATAAAAATTGGACAAAAATTGTCGAAAATGGAAACAAAGTTTTCATTTCATTTCATTTCATGTTGTTCATCACCTTTTTTTTCATACACATTATCAAACTTTATATGCCATTAGTTTTTTTTTGTTGTTGTTTTTTCACATATATACAGAGAGAAAAAAAAATTTGAAATGTGACTGGTTTATACTGAATGATGATGATGATTAAATGTTTGCTTCACTGTCATAAATTAGCCGGACAAATTTCATTCACATATAGAAAGATTTAGACAGAAAAAAAAAAAAAAAGAGAGAGACGCACATACAAACAAACAAATCAGTAAAATGGACAAGTTTTTTTTTGTTGTTGTTGTTGTTGTTGTTGTTGCTGAAAATGACGAGAAACTTTGCCTTATCATCAGTTTTTAGCTATCGTAATGAAAATTATATGCACACACACACCATTCACATACAATTCAAGTGGAAAAAAGTTACACACACACACACACACGTCAGCATTATCTATTCACAGATATATAAAATAAATGTGAATAAACTATCAAGAAGATGAGAGAAAAAAATTGATGGATTTTTCCTGTTGTTGTTGTTGTTGCCATTTTAAATAATCGGACTGTTAATTTTTTTTTCCCATTGTTTTTTCCATTTTCATTCATTTTCCACTATTAATATCATCCAATATATATATAGACTACGTGAATTGGCCAAACATTTGGAACATGGAGATATACCGAATGAAGTTTTACAGAAAACATTTCAATATGCAGCCTATGTATTGGATACAGTTAGTATGGATGAAACAAGGTATGTGAATGTGAATGACAAAATATTTATGGTGGTCATTTATTTTTTGTCCATATGTAAAAAAAAAAAAAATCTTAGTATTTGCATTGATTATAATATATATGCTAATTAGCAATTAGAATGCCATAACTAGATTGATTGATAATTTTTAAAAATGAAAAAATCAAATTACGTTCGATATGTTTATTTTCAATCACTAACTAATAACCAATTTAAATTTAAATTTAAATCTAATCTGAATCTAAAAAAAAAAATTTTAATTTTACTAAAATAAAAAATTTACGTCATGTAAACATAGACGTCGCTGTAAATTAATACAACAGCAACATCATCATAATCAGCAGCAGCAGCAGCAATTAAATCGTTATTATCATAATCGTGGACATGGGACACACAACAACAACAACAACAAAAACAAAAATCATGTCCAAGATTATTACGTAGTCAATCAACGGCATCATCAAGTTCACCACCGCCTTTATTATCATCATCATCATCATCCACAACACAACAACAACAACAACTACCACCACCATCATCATCACCATCGCAACAACATCATCAACCATCATCATCATCATCATCATCATCATCAATGATCAATGTGGCCAAAGAATCTTCCAAAATATTCAATAATGGCCAACATACACTGCCTTGCCAATCAAAGTCCAATAATAATAATAATAATAAAATAATAATGAAAACAATAACAACAACATTGATCCATCAATGCCAAATTCGATCAAATCGAAAATTGATTCAGTAAAAAAAGCTATACTAGATCAAGTTGATCCACAAAAAAAGAAAAAAAAGAAAAAATTGTCAACAAACAATGATAATAATATTAAAAATATTGACATCAATAATGATCACAATGATGACGACGACGACGATGACGACGATGACGACGACGACGACGATGATGATGATGGAGATATTACTAATAATAATGATTCCTACAGCAATATGAACAAAATTTCAATGATGGAAAAAAATTCACAAGATTCAAGGTTCAAAAAAAAAAAACAAAACAGTGAAATAAAATATTTTCTAAAATAAAAACTGATCCCCATAGCAAGCGAAAGTTAAAACCAATTTTCAGGAAGAAAAAAAATTTCATTTTTCCATTCCCAAAAAGGATTTAGTCGTTGCTGTATTAGATATATAGATAGATGCTTTGCAGAGAAATAGATTCGTTTTCAGCAAAAAAAAAAAACTTTAGCTTGCTCTAAATACCCAATTTTTTCTAGTAGTAGTAATAAATAGAAAATAGAAAAATCTTTTTTATAATATATCCAAGTTGTGAGTAATTTTTAAAAACTTTTTATATTAGCAGTTGTGTGTATATTATTACATTATTAATGGATAAACCAACACACATACATAGAAAAATCCATTATCACAATGTTTTTTTTATCCTTTAGGAAATGAGTTTTTCAAACAAAAAAAAAAAAAAAAAATTATTGAGAAACCTGAAAATTTTAACCAAATTTTTCGTTTTTTTCTCTCTCTCTGTTTTTGTTTCCAAAAATTCATTCATTCACATTAATATTTTGATGACATTGTATCTATCTATCTATTCTATTCTATATATAATACAATTTGGCCAGACGTTTATTGGATGAAGAAGATGAATTAGCTGAAGTAAAACCGGATGCTGTACCAAGTGAAGTACGTGAATGGCTTACATCTACATTTACAAGGAATCAGGTTTCCACACGTAATCGTTCGGATGATAAACCAAAATTTCGTTCAGTTGCTAATGCAATACGTGCTGGTATTATGGTCGATAGGTAAAATTAATTGGCCATCATCACTTATCTTGTTATATTAACACTTGTATCATTTTCATTACATAGAATTTATCGCCGATTATTCAGTGCTACCACCATACAGATTGCACCGGAAGTTTCAAATTTTCTTAAAGTTTGTATCATAATTATACTAACACATTAATCGATATATTATACAACAATTTATCTTCATATCTATTATCATACACACAGGGAACAGATGAATGGTCATTCGATGTGTTTTCATTGAATCAATTACAACAGGGAAAAGTATTGCGTAATTTAGCCACTGATCTATTGAATCGTTATGGTCTTATACATAAATTCAAGGTAAATTCAAAAGAATTCAAGAACGAAAAAAAAACAAAATCAAATTTCATAATTCCAAATAACAGATTCCAACCAGTAATTTGGATTCATTCTTATCACAAGTGGAATTAGGTTATCAAAAATATCAGAATCCATATCATAATAATTTACATGCAGCTGATGTAACACAAACCGTCCATTATCTATTATGGGTTACTGGATTGGCGGTAAGTAATGTCTATTTATTTGTTTTGAATCCAGAATAAAATCAATTTGAATCGAATGAATTGAATAAATGATACACTCGAACTTTGGAAAAGAGAAAAAAAAATATGAAAAAACTATAAAACAACATTATTATGGGAAAAAAAGCTTGAGGCCATATTGAAATAGATGACATATTTATAATGATGATGATGGTGATGAAAAAGTATCGAACAGGAAAAAAATCTGATTAGTCCTAATTCAATGTATCAATAATCCTGATGATGATGATGATGATGATAAAATAAACATAATATATAATCATCATGTGTTTAAGAAGAAACCAATTTGTTGAATTTCATTAAGAATTCACGACGAATAGAATATTTTTTGTTTTCATTTTTTTTTTTTTTCTTATTTTCATTATTTATACCCTTGAAGCAATGGTTGACCGATTTGGAAATATTCGCTACATTAGTTGCTGCTATCATACATGATTATCAACATACTGGTACTACTAATAATTTTCATATCATGTCTGGGTATGTTTTTTTACTTCTCTTCGACACAACAATCTATCTATTGATCATAATTGATTTTTTTTTCTGTAATTTTTTTTTTATTTTTGACAGATCCGAAATAAGCCTTTTATATAATGATCGTTCTGTATTGGAAAATTTTCACATTTCCGAAGCATTTAGAGTGATACGTAAAGATGATGCAAATATTGTGGCCAATCTAAGTCGTGAAGAATATAGGTATATATATTAATCAAATAATTTTATTTCCTATTTCAATGTTTTTACTTACTTTCACATAGAGAATTTCGTACATTAATCATTGAAATGGTCATCGCTACCGATATGTCAACACATTTTCAACAGATTAAAACATTGAAAACAATATTAAGCCATCAGGATTTTGTGCTAGATAAACAGAAAGGTTTATCATATATATTACATAGTGCCGATATATCACATCCATCGAAAAATTTTGATCTACATCAACGTTGGACATTGTTGTTGATGGAGGAATTTTTTCGTCAGGTAAAAAAAAAAACAATAGATAAATTTTGAACGAACAAACGAAAAAAAAAATTAGAAAAAAAATCCTCACAATTTTCCATTCGAATGATGATGATGAATAATGAAAAGTTTGTGCACAAACATTCATTTCATCGGCCGAAAAAAAGACCAAAAAAATTTTCGAGATATGAAAAAAAAGACAAAGAGCCAGTAATAGGATTTGATGATCATGAATAACAACAACAACAACAACTTCTACAATGATGATAATAATAATAATACCAAAAATTACCACTGATCTAAATATAATAACGAATGAAGTAAACAAATTCTCAATCAACTTTTATGCATTCTGCACATTAATTTTTTTTTTTTTCGTTGTTGCTGATGAAGCTCAAACTCCCTAAATAAAATATAGAGGTGATGATAATGTTGGAAGTGAAGGGGGGTGGTGGAAATAGTGGGAAAAAAGGTTTCAGTATGAATAGATGGAATAGATTGAAGAACGAATGAATGGATCGAAAATAATCCAATTTAGTTTGTTTTGATCATCATGTTTATATATTGAGTAATAATATTGGATCGGTTCATCGGTTGAATGATGATGATGATGATGATGATGATGATCATCATTGAATTCATTAATATATTTTTGAAAGCAAAAAAAAAAACAAAATAAAGAATGGCAAAAAAAGAAATGGAGAGAAATTCTATAATCTTATATAATGAAGTTACGATGATAATATGTGCCTGTCGATCGTTGTCAATGTTGTGCCACTACATCATGAGATTGAAATTTTAACAACAACAAAAAAAATCACACATTTATTGCATTTAAAGGTCATCATCATCATCATCATTGAAATGAATTTTTCTTTCTTACTTTTTGTTTGTTTGTTTGTTTTGTTTTGTTTCCTTTATTCTCATCTTGATTATTTTTTCTCATTTAATCGTGTTTTTTGTTTGTTTGTTTATTTTCTTAATGATTTTGGATCGATGTTTTACGATAACAATAACAACAACAACAACGATAACGACAACAGGGCGATATGGAACGTGAATTAGGTCTTGCCTATTCTCCATTATGTGATCGAAATTCAACATTGATACCTCAATCACAGATTGGTATGTGTTAATGGTAGATGATTTACTTTTTTTTATTGATTAAAAATTCTTGTCACAATAAAATCAACATAGGTTTTATTGAATTTATTGTTTATCCAACAATGGAACTTTGTGGTGATCTTATTGAACGTGTTTATGAACATTTAAATTCATCATCATCATCATCTTCAACATCGACAACGACAACAGTGACGGCAACAGCAACAACAATGGCTACTACATCAGTAGATATAATCGAAGAAGAAGAAGATAATGATGATCAAAAGTCTTCCAATGATAATGAAGATTCTATTTTGAAACCGAAACAACAACAACAACAACAAATATCAAGAAATTCATCGACAACAACAACAACAACCAATTCATCAGCCACTGTGATAACCACAACTACACCCGTATTCAATATGGTGATCAATAGTTCAACACGTAAATTATATCGTCCATGGTTACAATATTTGGATCAAAATAAAACTAAATGGCAACAGAAAGCAACGCTTGAAGGTATTATTTTGGATGATCAAACAAAAAAAACAGAATAATAAAATTGATATAAATGATGATGAGAATCATGAATTAAAAGCTAATTCTGATTTGATTCATTTGTTTTGATGTTTTGAATTGATTTTCTATGTCAAAATCAAGAGAGAGGCTTACAACATCATGACATGGAAAAAAAACAAGTGAAAAAAACGAGAAAGAAAGAGAAAGAATGTGTTTATTTGTAATGAAGTAATAATGAGTTTTACATTGTGATTATTATTGAGTGTTCATCCTTTTTTTTCATTATCATCATCATCATGTTACGATTTCGAGTTTTATTAATTAATGAGAATTTATTAATGAATGATAATGCTTTACAATAGTGAAATAAAAACACAATGGATTTTAACAAAGTTCAATCACAACAACAACAACAACAACGAAAACGACAACATCATTGAAATTAGAGATTTGACGTCGTACAACAACAACAACAACAATAATAATAATAATAATAATAAAATAACATTCTGTACACCGCTAGAATAAAAAAAAAAAGAAAGAAAGAGAATTTTATCTATTGTCGTGGTACCCAAACACAAAATAGTAGACAAATGAAAAAGAAAATGTCGGCAAATGGATTGGAAATTCATGAATTCTAAAATAGAACAACAACAACAACAACAAAAAAATGAGAAAGGAAATGGTGATAAAAGCTTTCCGTTGCAAACAAATCCAATCAACAATTCGGTTTTTTTTTGTTTTTTGTTTTGTTTTTCATAAAATAGAAACAAAGTGAAAAAAAATAACGAGAGAGAAAGAGAGTGAGATGTTCAAAATTCTCTCCATACAAAATGAGTATTATGGTTATTTTTTGTTGATGCTATTGTTTTTCAAAATGAAAAAAAAACAAAATACATTCATTATGAATAATTGAAAATTTTCAAGTTTTTTTTCTATTCATCATAATCTAATTCTGCATTTTTTCTGTCTTTTTTTTCTATTTTTCATCTTCATCATATGCCTGTACCAATGAACAGAATTGAAACCAAAACCACCGCAACAGCAGCAGCAGCAGCCAGGTGAATAGAAAAAAATAAATGTCACATCATCATCTGATCAAAATGGACAGAATGTGAACCTGAAATATGGATGACGAAAAAACAACAACAACAACAACAAAACATAACATAACATAACATAACATCCTTTTTTTTCGTGGACAATAAACGAATGGTGGTGTCTATTGTGAGCGATGATTCAAATTTTCGTTCGTTCTCACTCATTTTTTTTTTCACTTTCATTTCGTTATTATTATTGATTTGAATCTGTTGAATTTTTTTCTTCTTATTATCTATTTATCTATATATCTATATATACTATCATTCAAATTTGTTATATTTTAGTGATTTTCACTGCAAATTTTTTTTTTTTTGGCTCTCTTTCATACATTCAATTCACCCAGATAAAATATATATGAAAATATTTTTGATTTTTTCCCCAACCTCCCCCGGTGCTTATATATCTCACTGTGACATTCATTTTCATTGTTTATCCCGCAAAACTCGAGCCCTGTCCCGTCACTTACTTTTCAAATAAACACCCACACACACACACACGAATATATTATTATTGTATACAAAAAAAAAAAAAAAAAACCACACCAAATGGAGAAGAAAGGGTTCAGTAAAAAAAAATGAATAAATAAAAATGAATTTAACCCGAATCATCGAATTATCAAATAACCAACAATTTTGATTATCATCATTATATATCATTGTCGGACAAAATATTCGAATCGAATCTTTATAGCTCATACACACATACACACAAACTAAATTGCAAAACAAAAACAAAACACCATAACCAATGCGGCAGCTGTGGAAAATTGGCCATCCATACCAAAAAGACGAGAGAAAAAAAAGTCGGATCATTATATGGATCATAACGGTTATTCTTTTTGTTTTTTTTTTCATATTTCTTTTTCTTTTCTATCCGGGAATCTGATGATGATGATCGAGATTTTGGATTTTTTTTTCTTTCCATTTTTTTTTTCTGGTTTTGTTTTGTTGTTTAATAGTAGTATATATATACTAATTGCTGCCGCTGCTGTTATTTTATTGTTTTGTGTGTGTGTGTTGTTTCGGTTTGGTTTGGTTTGGTTTGGTTTGGTCACGCTATATCATATTGAGGCTATATATTGCAAGCACCACCACCATCATCAACAACAATTAATCATCATCATCATCATAATCATCATTTGGACATAAATACAGAGGGAATACCAATGAAAAAAAAATTTTAACACGAATGTTGTTGTTGTTGTTGTTTTTGTTTTCATAGGATAGTTTATTTGATAGTCCAAATGATAATTTTTGAAACGAAAAAAAAAAATAATTCAAGTTTTACATGAATTATACAAAAGAATGATAATAAAAAAAGAAAAATTCACCATTTAAAATTATTATAAAAGTTGTTGTTGTTGTTGTCATTGTCGTTTTCTATTCTCAATAATTGATCATCTTGAATGTGATTTTTTTTTCATCTTTTTTGGCCCCATCATCATCATCATCATCATCATTAAGTTTAGGTGGATCATTTTTGATTTCAACAGTATCACCATCATCATCGATGTTATTTTGCTGTTCAAAACATTTGTCTCGCCATTCTTTCCATGCTAATAGTTTATCATCATTACTTAGCTGTTCTTCGGGAAGATTTTCAAGTAAAAAATCGTGATCATGATATGAGATTATTTTATTCAGATGTTTTTTCAATAATTTTGCCAATAATTGATCAACCGGTACAATTGGAATCTCAATTTTATCCGGTTTTTCAGTAAATGTATATAACTCTTCCAATTCCATACGAGTAAAATGTCGACGTATTTGATTTAAATCTACGACACGACCTGATATTGATTGTTTAGAAATTTGTCGTTGATAGACACGATTTTCCATTGTACCATAGCCAGCTAAACGATAAATATAGACAGGTTTCACCTGTCCAAAACGGAAAATTCTAAATAAAGCTTGAACATCGTTTGCTGGATTCCATGAACAATCAAAAATGATACATCGGTTGGCTCCAACAAGGTTTATGCCAATACCACCTGCACGTGTTGATATTAACATTAGACGAGCTTTTTTGTTTTTTGGATCATTCAAAAGTTTAGTACTAAGATCTCTTCGTTCAATTTTCACTGAGCCATCAATACGAAAATAATCGACACCTTTTTCCCATTTACCTTTTATCGATTTTAGTAACTTTTCAATTAGATCTAAAGTGCGTAGACTTTGTGAAAAGATTAACAATTTATCACCAATTTCTTGACAATGATCTAGTATGGCAAAGGTGATGGTGAATTTAACACTTGTATCGATATCTTCTAGATTTTTTAGTTCATCACCAAGTAAATGTTTATAATATCCCGAAGCAGTAACCAATGTTTTCTGTGCAGTATTATTGCTGGCTCTAGTTTTCAATGAAGATTTTGGTTTACTTTCTTTATCGTCATCATTGTAATCATCAACAGTATCGCATGTTGTGAGATCTTCATCGCTGGGATCTAAAAACAATACAGGATGATTATTGATTTTAGCAAATGACCAGAAATCTTTGATAAGGTGTTTACTATCATAAGATAATAAAGAATTTAAATGATGTTTGTACAATTTTGATTGTATTGACGATAATCGAAGATAAAGCACGTATTCGTACTTGGGAGGTAAAAATGGAACAAGAACTTTATAATTGCAACGATTGATAGAGAATGATAGCATTTTATGCAGAACGAATGCATGTTTTTTCATTATGGCCACATCAAAAATGGTTGAGTCGATATGTTGTCCATTTTTGATTGGATTCTCGAAACGATTCCGAAACTCTTCAATTGAACCCAAAAGCCGAGGTTTTATGAAATCAACCATAACATAAAATTCACCTAAATTGTTTTGCATTGGTGTGCCAGTTAGAACCACTCGTCGAAGCGTACGAATCTGTGATGCAACATTATTGATTTGGCTACTGCTTGATTTCAACAGATGACCTTCGTCAAAAATGACCATTTCAGGACCAGGATCAAGTAAAAATTTCCGTAATGATGGTTGTACTAGCTTCAATTCCTTTTTTTTACTTGTAAACAAAAGACGAAACATGGTTATGGTGAGCAAAAATATGCCACCTTTTTGATGCCATTGTTCCAACACTCGAATACGTTCCGGTATTGTCTTAGCATTGGATAAATCGAATAAATTTAATGCTTTATGGTCAATGTATTCATTTTTCCATTTAGAAAATTCTTCTACCCAACTTTTTTGAACATTGCACGGTACGATGATCAAAACTTTACGGATAAATTTATTGATGATCGGATTAGTCATAATGGCTTGAAGGAAGGCTACTATTTGTAATGTTTTACCCAATCCCATTGAATGGGCAAGAATACAGCCAGATTGATGTTGATGATTTAATAATCTATCAAAAGTTTCAATAGTACAATCATACATGAAACGTATGCCATCACGTTGATGAGGTTTTAAAATTTTCACGATGCCTTGATCAACTTCAAGCAATACTTTTCCATTTAGCGGATCAAATTCTAAAATGACACGTGAATCAAAATCAGGATCAGATTCGGCAAATTTATCAAGTATTCGATTTTTTTCCATAATACGTTTAGAACGTTCCTCTTCCATTTGAATTGCCAATTGAGTGTCCAAATCCAAATCTTGAAAATGGAATATTTCTCGAATGCGTCTTCTAGTCAGTATGTTGGACGGAGGATGATCAAGGAAAGAAGGTATTTGAGACATTTTAGATGTTTCATCGTCATTTGGCAAATTAGAATCGTCATTTTTAGTCAAACACTCTTTAATGGTATCGGATGATTTCTCATTTTTTTCTATTTGGCATTCAGTAAGTTTTTCGTTGACAATGTCATTCTCTATCTTTATTGGAGAAATCTTAATTGAATTCAATTCTTCATCATCTAAAATGTCATTGCTATCATGAGAATCGTCGACATTAGTTTTATCATTGGTAGAAGAATCAGTATCATTAAAACTGGATAAATCATTCGAATCACTATCGGTAGAAGAATCGTCTTCATCAGTCACAGAGATTTTCATGGAAATTTCAATGTTCATTTCATGATTATATTGATTTGAATGCGTATCATTTTGAAATTTCAAACGTTTATGTTGCTGATTATTATTTTCATGATCAATAACATCATTCATTGTTTGAAAATTTCGTTTTTCCGAACATGTTTGTGAATCTGCATGTGAACTAATTGATTCGTCATCCTTAACATTGTTCATTTCATCAGAAATTTGGTCATCATAATCAATATCGGATTCATCTTCGGTAAACCATTCATGTGCAAAAAAATAAGAATCTGTATCGGTGGTTTGTTCTGATGATGACTATAATTAAATGAAAAAAATGATAGTTTTTCTTCACATTATCCAGATTCAACTTACATCATCAATCGTCGATTCATGAGGAGAATCACTTGATGGATCAACATCAGATTCACAGCTGGAATCGGTCATAAGTAAATTAGAATGTTCAAAATTTTCAACTAAAGAATCGGTAATGCTTGTCCATTCATGAGAATCATTGTCACTTTCATCTTCATCTGAAGAGAGTTCTGCATATTGTATCCATTTACGATTACATCTACGAGATTCAGCTAATGAATTTTTCAATTCTACTTCATAATCCGAGGGATAATCATCAGCATCATTATTTCGATAATCATGAGAATTTTCCATGATTTTTCGATTTAAATATGAAAAAATGAAAACACGAGTATAGAACGTGAATTTTTTGAAGCTAAAGCGATGATGAAATAGCATTTTTTTCGGAAATTTTTTTTGTCTATATTTCAGGAAAGATTTTTTCTTTCTCATCATTTCCGGCTATTGTTTCTTTTTTTGTGTTTTCAATGACAATTTTCATTATTCAAAATTCATTTCAATTTCAAATAATATTATTAAATTATCATTGAAATTCAAATAAAAAGTCCAGAAAAATGAATAAAATTTTAAAAATTTATTACATTGTTTGTGAATTGTGTTTGTGTTTGTGAATCGAATTCATTTCGTAATAATGAATTCGATGTTCGATTAGAATATTTCGATTTTCTTCGTTACCAAAAAACATGAAGATAAAAATTTCTTAAACGACAAAGAACAATTTATATGGCCATCTATAAATGAAATTTATCTTTCTTATGATTAAACCTTAACAACAACAACAAAAATTTTTCAGGGTGTGTCCAAAAACATTGAAAACAATGGATTGATTTGTGTGTGTGTGTGTATATATATGTTTTTTCATATACACAAAATATCTAATCATTTATAACCAATGTCAGGTTTTTATTTCGATTCAATTTAATTCATTCATTTATTTATGTGTATAATAATAATTGCTCATAGTTAACTTGTGGTCGCAATGAATTATAACAACAACGATAAGGCGACAGAAAAAAAATGAACCTTATTCAGTATATATCGGTTCCGAATTCTGGCCACACACATACATGTGTGTAATGTATATTTTGTCAAATATAAATGAAATAAAATGGAATATATACCAGAAAAGAATATGGCAAGCAAAGAAGAATATGAACAAGTAAAAATTGATCTAAATTATTGACTTTATTATTATATATTGGAAAACAACCATAAAAGAAACGGGTGAGAATGATGATTATTCTTATTTCGTATACTTAAACTATTATAGTCTGTTTTTCTCTATCCAGCCATACACTCTAAACTTTTTTCCTCGAACGAAAAGCCAAAAGCAATAATAATCATTATTATAATAAAATGAAATGTCGACTTTTTCTCACTATTCGAATCATTCATTATTGGTCGCTTCAATTTATTTGGTGTTGATAATTGTGGTGGTCGTGGTCGTTGTTGTGATAGTGATATATCAGATATTCTATATTTGGTTTTATCTGTTGAAGAAGAAAACAAGGAAGCAGAAGAAATTGAACCTGATTGTGCGCTTAAATTTTAAAAAATTATATATTTCATCATCATCATAACATCTTTTTCGTATAAACACACGGGTTATATATTTTGTTCAGGAATCTATCCAACTTGACGATACAATCGTAATCATCATTTTGGTAGTAGCAGTATCAGTAATAGTAGAATAAAAATTTGGTACTTTTCTGGAACACACACACACATTTCTGGTACATGTCGAATTCCATCGATATATTTGGCGCTAGTCACGTTCACTATTTGTTTCCCACTAAATGACCCAAATATGATGAACTTTATTGAAGAGAACGACAACAACAACAAGAAATATCCAGAATGAAGAAGTGGTTCAACATGGTATTTTCCGAAAAGTGTGTGTGTCTCACCCCTTACTATTCAGCTTTACATAATCGTTTTTCTATTGTGGGCTATTCAATGCATGAATTGAGGAAGTTTTTTTGTTCCTGTATATACTTTTATGGATTGAAGCAAATATTGATGCTGTAACAAAAAAAAGAAAAGAATCGGAAGAAAGAATGGAAGAATAATTTCTGGTTGATTGTTTACCTTCCTGATTAAATGAGCAATTTATATTATGCATATACACAATATAATAAAAGAAAAAATCTCGATCAAATCATCATTATCATCACACGGTTTGTTTTGTTGTTTTTTTGTTGCAGCTGGATCGAACCAGATTTGTGATTGAATCATAGTGCTTTTTTCCTCCAATTCTGATTCTGACGATTCGATGTATATCAATTCTCAAATAATGAGGTTAACAAAACAATAGCTAGAATCTAATAAAAATAATGGTCAAATCATCATCAACAGCAACAACCGTATCATCATCATCATCACCACAGAATATGATGGCTGTAGCAACAACAATCTCTTCAACGACAACGGCAACAACAACAACAACAACAACGATGAATAAATCTAATTTAGTTGATCACTCTAAGAAATTATCGTCATCATTATCATCTACAACAACAAGATTGACGCCATCACCATCATCATGGAGGCATTTTTTCTACATACTTGGCATTTATCGTTATGTTTTACTTTGTTTATTATTCGGTTGTATGAGTTTGATTATTGGCGTGGCACTTTTTTTACTTGGCATTTTATTTCGTTCGAATACAACGTCCATTCATCTTATCGAATCGGTACCATTATATATGCCATCATTGATTGTAAGTATTTGTGACAAATTATTATGATTTGAATTATCGATCGGTATCCAATCCAATAATAATGAGAACTACATGCTTTTCTGCTTTTTTTTTCTCTCTTTTAGCTATTCTGTAATGGATTATCGTTGGTTGCATTTATGAACAAAAATACAAGACGATTGTATTTGGTATGTGGTGATATATGCATGCAAAAAAAAGAAGAAAAAAAAAATTTTCTTTACATTTGTGTTAAATTATTAATGAAAATTCAATTTTTATTTTCCACTATTCCATCTTGATAAGCTCAAATCTGTTTGTGGTCTATATTTATTGGTCACATTATTGATGATAATCATTGCCATAACTACATCGACCATACATCTTCCAAGATTACATTCACATCGTGAATGTGCATACAATGTTCGTATACGTGCCTGTACTTGTGTTTTATCTCATCAACAACAACAGCATCTAATCAGTATTCAAAATAGTAATAATATTGATGATGATAATGATGATGATGGTGATGGTGATATTCCATTGTCAAATCCATTTAGAGGTAATCATTTAATTGAAGATTATAATGATGAATTAATTCTTTATCTATTCGTGTATCTAGCATCTTCCAAACATTTTACCATGGAAGAAATTATGAATTGTGATCTAATCCATGGTATAATTTATGATTCATTAAGAGTGGTATTTGCCTTGTCTTTATTAGCCATAGCGATTTCAATATTTTCAATGATAACATTGTTTCAATTATCGACACATGAAAAAAGGAAATTATGTTTTAACAATCAATTGGCTATGGCTCGTGATCATCATCGCCGTCAATATCAACAAGCTCAACAGATTCATCATTCATCACGATCACATTCGCCACCGGTTAATCATCGATCATTAACGAGCGATGACGATTGTCTACCCACATCTATGACAACAACAGCAACAATAACTGCAAAACAACAAACGTCCACAAATCAATTCTGCCATCCATCATTACCTACAGATTTCAAATGTCTTTCTGCCGATTTTTCTTCACAAGATTTGCTTATTGATAATCATCAGAATTCTATCCATCAAACATTCAAGTCACCCACTACTATTTCTAATACACCTGGAGATGATCCAGAATTGCTATTATTTTCACCGACTAGAAAATTAGAACCACAAGATAAAATATGGTCGTCATCACATTCGACTACAAATTTTGCCATTCCAGATATTGAACAATATCAATCATCGGATAAAAATGACCACCAACAATCATCCGGATCAAATCTAAGACGATATATGAGCGTCATATTAGACACACCATCAAATGTACATTCATATGTATGGCGTAAATTGAATTCATTGAAAAATATTCAAAAACATAATAGCACACGCGATGATATGCATACGAAATTTTCTCAACAACAACGTAAACATCATCATCTTCTTCCACCTCCTCATATATCCATACCACGATTTTCCGTGTCACAACTGTCCAATATGAAAACTGATAATTCGAAAAAATCACAATCCATCCTACAAACTGCATCTTCATCATCATCATCATCGTATAGCAATGCATCGTCTTCCAGTTTAGGATCATCAAGTTTCATCAAAAACCAAACAATTCGTTACCAATTGAATACGGCCAATAATGTAGAATTATTATTGCCAAAAGAATCTCAATTGATTTTTTCACAAAATTCTTCCGTTGATCTAGAATCTGGCCATCAATGCTTATTCGAACCGAATGAAAGTTTATTTAACAATGTCGAACAATCACGTACTGATTTTACTTCGAAATATAGTCAATCACTACAATCAGATAATTCCATCTCAAAGAATGAATCAAATGATCATTCAAAATGGTCCAAATGTTTAACCAATTTAGCCAATTCATTCGAATGTATCGATGAAGATGAAGAATTAGCTAAAGGATTTGTACAACCACCAACGTCAACAGCACAATCAACAACAACCCAACCATATATTAGTTATTTCAATCCATTTGAATCTACATCCATCATTTATGATCGATCATCAATCAAAGAACAATCAACACTTGATAATCATCCATCCGATAATGAACATCATCTTTTTCGATTAATGGATGCGGAAAATAATCGACATCAACAAAATACACAGCCAAATCAACAACCAAGTTTAGTGGATGTATTTACGTTTGCATCAAGCGGTAACAGTACCGAATATCATCATCAAATATACACCACATTCGAAGAAGCATTTAAAAATTATTATGACTCTCAGAATCGTATTAGTAACAATTACAGCAATTATTACACTCTTCCATTGAATAAAACTAATGGTCATACAGCGAAAGATTCTCGTCATCGTTATCATCGTCAACGAAATGGTGGACAATCAGACCGTATTGTTAATGGTCGACAACACCGGAAAAATTATTCACCATCATCACAAAATGCAATTGGAATGTCTAACCCTTCTGCCAAGCAAATGGCTAAACACCAAGAATCATCACCAATAGTCGTGAATAATCATACAGAATTTACGGAAGAAATTCCATTTCATGTTGCTATCATTGAACCACCTGAAGATTATCAAAATCTTTTTCCTTCTAATAAACAACAACCAGAAGCAAGTGAAACAAAAAAACAACAGAAAGTCCAATCACAGACGATCGATTCGAATGATTTGATTCAAACCAATCAATTGTTACCACATCCGTATCGATATTGGCTCGAGCAAATGAACCAACCGAAATTGGATCAAATTTTGACCGATGATAAATTAAATAATCCTGCATTCATTGGTGATGATGATGATGATGATGACGACGATGATAGTTGTGAAGATTTAGAAAATGGTGATGATGACGACGAAGACGATGATGATGATGAAGCCGATGGTGCTGGTGACACATCAACATCACAAGATATTGCCGATTTCGAATTAGAATTAGATGAAGAGCCAATCAAATTCGTCAGTGAAGACGATTTCAAGATATTGGTATCGAATCCAAGCCTAAAAAAACTTGAGGATCTTTTTCGTTCAGTTGATTTAGGTACCATAAATAGTGTTCATCATAATCAAAATGAAGATAAGAATCAAAATAATACAATCATCACTAGATTGCCAAATACAAATCAAATACCAAAACCGTCAGAAACAATGAATGTTCCTGAAACAATCCTAGTGGAGCCATTGCCTATAGTAGAAACTGCTGCAGCAGTAAAATCACCAATTGATTTACTTGAAATGAATATGAACCTTTTGAAACGACGTGTTCAAGAACAAATGTTAAATATTAATAATCAGAATAAAAATGATTGTGGTTTTGATGGTTTCCGTAAAGGTTGTTTTGGTGATGGCGATGATAATAATGATTCATCGGATACATCTACTACCGGTACGGCTTCATCATTATCATCAACCTGTGGTGATGAACAAGTTAATCAAGATGAAGAAAGTACCGATGAGGAACATTCAATTACAGCTGAATATATAAAACCGCCTACGCCTTTTACTAATTATTTGTTTGAATCTTAATATTAGCAACAAAACAATGACAACAACAACAACAACAACAAAATGTTTGAATTTCAAAAGTTTATTTCATAATAATAATTATGTTTTTTTTTGAAAAGAAAACAAAATTATTTGTACATTTATTTCAAATGAAAATAATTCCATTATTTCTTAACAATTTGAACGACATCTTCATGATGTACAACCTGTGTTTGATGATAAAATGAAATAAAATAAAATAAAATTTGATTTTAAAATAAAACAAAACAAAACAATTGATCGATCGTTCACACATACGTGATTTAATCCAACTCGTTGTGGACTATATTTTGTACTGGTACCCTGTGTTTTTTTTTGTGGAGAAAAAAAAGTTTTGATTATTCCGTAGATGATCACGTTTGATGAAAACGACATACCCAAACTAAGGCATATTTGAATTGTGATGTTAACGTTCGATGAATCGTATGACAAACATGTTCGATTGATGAACCACGTCGCATGATTAATCCATCTTCGAAATCCGGTGGCTCTATTAAAATTTCAATTAAGAATTTAAACGAATTTTTAATCAAATTAAAAAAAACAACATACGGCCACGTTTTTTAGTATAAACTTGAATTAATGAAAGATAATTCCAAATTGTTTCCAACATATAATCCAAATTGAGTTTCATGTTACAGCTGACAACAACCGAATGTGGTTGTCTAGCCAATTTATCCACCTCTTCCATGGAAATTTGATCAATTTTGTTATAAACATAAAGACAAGGTAGATAAGCACGATTTTTACATATCACATCGATAAATTCATCCGGTGAGCAATCTTCTCGAAACAATACTTCAGCATTGAATATTCCTGAATGAATGAAATGAAAAAAAATTGTTTTAAATTATGAATTTCATAGAGCAATCGAAATTGAACTAACTGTACTCATGAAGAATCATTTGAACCAATTTTTCATCCACTCTTGTTAGATTACACATTGAATTGAAAGAAACACCACCCGTTTTCTTTTCTTTGAAATAAATGTTTGGTCGTCTTTTATTCAAACGTATGCCAACTGATTCTAATTCTTGTTCCAATAAACGACGTTGTGCTTCACTTTTGGTTGCATCCAACATGATAATAACAAGATCAGCAGTTCGAGCTACAGCTATCACTTGTCGTCCACGACCTTTACCTTGAGCAGCACCTTCGATAATACCAGGTAAATCAAGCAATTGAATATTAGCTCCTTTATATTCAATAACACCGGGAATACAGGTCAATGTTGTAAATTCATATGATGCAGATTCACTATGCGTATTGGTCACAGTATTCAACAAAGTTGATTTTCCAACCGAAGGAAATCCAATCAATGCAACACGTGCATCACCACTTTTAAGCACTTCAAAACCTTCACCTTTTTCTTTCGATTTACTTGGTTCCAATAGTTGACCACGATATTTGGCTAATTTAGCTTTCAATACACCTAAATGATATTCGGTTGCTAAAAAAAACAGGGAAAATTTTAAAATAAACCTTAGATATCAGATGACTATTGCAATGATTACCTTTATTTTTTTGTGTTCGTGAAATTTCACGTTCAATTTCGGCAATTCTATCGAGAATACCCATTGATAATTTATTTGAACAAAAAAAAAAAATCTAAATTAAAATATTGAAATACACACAAGATAAATCGACAATCGATAAATGATTTTTGTACAATATTTTTTGTTCATGTGGATTATCGTGGATCCATTCATAAATAAGATATCGGGATTCAATCGCCCAATTAACCCATTTTTTTCTATCGAAAAAAGTGAAACCATTCAGTTTAGGTTTCAATCAATAAAAAGCCAAAAATGTAATCATTCATTGAGTGAGGTAATCGAAATGCATAATAATTTAAGCATTTGTTTCAACCATGTGGATGGATGATCGTTTGGACAGCCTATCAGGCTAATTGTCAACTGCAGAATTAGTGATCAAAATGAAAAAATATCGTTGGAAAATATAACAAAATGATTATGCTGCCATATTGGTTGGTCCAATGAATAATGATGACGTAAAAATGACAACATTGAAAATGATGGTCGATCATAGGCTAATAATTTTGGATGGATGGCCAATCGTTTTAGCATCAAATCGAATAATATTTTACCAAAACCATTACGTTTGAAACGAATATAAAAATCTGAAATGAGGAAAAAGTAAAAATTTATAGATAATTGTAACCATCATTTGATATATATGATAAATACCCAATATAGATGGACAATTGACCAAATGTTTCAACGAGGTTCCATCATCAAAATAAAGATCACGTTTACCGAAACGTATGAAACCAATTTCTTTGAATCTTGATTGTTTTGAAACATTGGACCGTGTAAACATGAGATATATCAGATCATCATTAGTGTTTGCAGTGAATTTGGACGTCGTCGTAATTGGTATCTGCAATTTTTGCGCTTTCGATGATTCCTCACCCAATCGATCAATGATTTCGGAAAGAAATGTTCTACAAACACCAAACATTAATTGGAAACTATCTAAAAAATTTTTGAAAGACTTACTTTGAAAAGTGAAATTCATCATGGCGTTTGCCTGTTGAATTGTTATCAAAAACCCATTCACAATTCAAGTTTCTATCGATCGATATAACAAAAATATTTTGGCCATGATCATAACCCGAAATCATTGAAATCGTGGAATGATTTTTTTTGTTCGCTTGTTTTATATTAAAAACAGAGATTCATAAAAACATTTGTGATCACAACAAAGCTATTGAACTTTTGCTTTGTTTCTTCTTCTTGCGGAAAAGTAATTAGTTCTACACCATTTCATCGAGATAATTATGGTTCGGGATAATCGGATTTAGCAATCGATTGCAACATTTTTTTTTGTATACAATAAATTGTATGTTTATCAACGAAGATTGAATTCAGGGAATGTTTCCCTTGCGTAATGATTGGATTTGCGAAACATTTCTTGATGACGACAACGTAAATAAAAACAACAATTGCTTCTTCCAAATACATCAAAAAAAAAAAAAAAAAAACATGGACATTGTGTATATAATTACATTGTTGACATCGTTTTTCTTTGTTCTTCTTGTTGTATTAATCGCTTTAAAAGGACTGAAAAATTCTCAAAATAATGATAATGTTGATGATGAAGATGATGGCAATGTACAGCGACATCAAACTGGAAGATTAAGACAAGGTGTATCTGGTCTACGAAATCGTGGCCGAACAAATCGTCATACTAATAACATTGAACAAGATGATGATGAAGAATTCGAAGAAATAGATTATGATGATAATGGCGTTGATGAAGATCAAGATGAAATGCGAGAATTTCCAATCAAAGGAAAAATTGGCGCTAAAAAAGCTCGAAAACTTGAAATGAAAGCTGAAAAAAAATTGGCACGTGAACGTGAATTACAGGAACGTGAAGAACGTAAACGAATGATGGAAGAACAGGAAAAACAACGAAAAATTGAAGAGGAAAAAATCGCTGCCGAGGAAAAGGCCAAGGTTTGAATGAAAAATTCGATTTGCTATGGAAACGAATAACTTAGATTTTTCTTTTCGAAATTTTTTATTCATACAGGAAGAAGCCGAACGTTTGGAAAAGGAACGAAAAGCACGTGAAGAACAAGAACTGTATTTACAGATGAAAAAAGAATTTTCAATCGATGATGAAGGTTATGATGGTGATGAAAATGAAGAGGAAAGTCAGAATAAACTACAAGTATTCATTGATTATATTAAAGAGAAAAAAGTGGTCCACATGGATGAATTGGCCGGTAATTTCAATATGAAAACATCCGATGTTGTACAACGTCTCAATGGTCTATTGGAACAGGAATTATTGGTCGGTGTGATAGATGATCGTGGAAAATTCATCTACATCACTAACGATGAGCTTGAATCGATTGCACGATTTATCAAACAACGAGGACGAATATCATTGGTGGAATTGGCCGAAAATAGTAACAATCTGATTAAATTGATCCCAGTGGAAACGGCCAATTGATCAAAAATTATGTTGTCTTTTAAATAAATTTAATTTTTTTTTTAAATTCTGTTTCAAATAAAAATTCTTGCTTGTTATTCTTGCATGTATGTTGTCATTCATGTGTCGAAATAGTGATCACGTGTGTTGGAAAATCACGTGACAAAATGTTGATTCAGAATAATAATCATGGAACAATCATCCGAATCATCATCGATGAAGAAAATGGAAGATGACAAAAAATTCGGCCAGAGTGCACGAAAATTAACCAAAGAAGAAATAGATAAACTTAATTCCGATACGGAATTGATTTCCGATTTTCGGCAACGAAAATTGGAACAAGAATGTAAGAAAAATTGGGATCTTTTCTACAAACGAAATGAAGATCGTTTTTTTCGTGATCGTAATTGGACGACCAGAGAATTCCATGAACTATTAGAACTATCGGCCGAAACCAACGATGATCGTCAATTACGTTTGTTAGAGGTGGGCTGTGGTGTTGGAAATTTCATTTGGCCATTACTTGAAAGTGGATTACCATTTCAATTTTATGCCTGTGATTTTTCTCCACGTGCTATAGATTTATTACGCAAAAATGAACGATACGATCCAAAACGATGTCATGTATTTCAGGCAGATATAACCGAACCGAATGGAATTGGTCGAAATTTATCATCATCATCATCATGTGACAATGAAAACTTAAAATTTGATTTTGTCGCCCTAATATTTGTATTATCATCAATTCATCCCTGTAAAATGCCGTTAGCGTTGAAGAACATATCGGATGTAAGTAATTAGGATAAAAAAAAGTAAATTTTCAAACTAATTATGCCCTATAGGTACTGGATGATGACAGAGGAATACTCATATTTCGTGATTATGGCCTTTATGATCATTCTATGCTTCGATATTCAAATGGACATAAATTGGATGAAAATTTCTATGTACGACAGGATGGTACTCGAACTTATTACTTTTCAATTGGTAATGTGAATTGATAGAAAATCATATCATAAGAACTAATTTCATTTTTTTTTTTCGTTTTCCTAATAAAATATACTAAAGATGTCATGAACAAATTGGCACAAGAATCCGATCTGGAAGTGATTCAATTGAACTATATACAAAGAGAAACGATAAATATCAAAGAAAATTTATGTGTTCCAAGAATATTTTTGCAAGGAAAATTTCGAAAAAAACGAAAATCATCTTACACCCATTGAATCTAGTATGATATGAGTTATCAGTTATTTATTAATTTTTAATGACAAAAATTGACATTCAACAACCGAAATTTATTCAAGATATAATAATAATGAAAATAATTCTAATGGAAAATTACTTTTGATTTCAATGTCAATTTGGGTGGTTGTTCAGGTCGATTTTTTCGTTTTGTTTAGCAATGGTAATAATTTATTATATCTTTTTTTCTGGTTGCTGATGATTATAATGACCAAAAAAAATTTTCTGGTTTTTTCACCACCAGAAAATGATTATTATTTGATATTGCTCCTGGCAACAACAACAACAACAATAACAAGAAGAAGAACAAAATTAATATATACTAACGTCAAAAAAAAAGTAACGCGCGGTAACTATGATCAAACAAAGAAAGAAAAAATTGATTTTCATTATTTCGGACGATAAATGTCAATTTTTTTCTCTTTGTTGTTGTTGCTGTTGTTGTTGTTGTTGTTGTTGGAACAACAAACCAAATCAAATCGAATTTTTTTATTCAACAAACCATCATTATTATTATTATGTTCGGCGAAAAAAGCGGGACCATTAATAATAATGATAATAATAATAACATGCGACCAAGCGCATTCTCAAATATTTGTCATCTTTTGGATATACCGTTATTATTATATGGCACATTGTAAATCATTGATGATGATCATCATTATGGTTAAAGTATATTCGTGTAAAACACGCATACACGCCCCATATATAATATTGGTATATATGAAAAATGAATGAATATGGGCTCCATATATAAAAAAAAACTATTTTTTTCATCATCAATTCGATATATTGAACAACAACAACAACAACAACAATGGAGACGACAAGCCAAAAGAAGATATAACCAAATGTGAAACTTATTTCTGGATATTATTTTCTTTTTAGGATCTATGCAACCAATTTACCGTTTCGAATGTATTTCGTATTTTCTAGTGTGTGGCTTGAATTGGCCGTGTTTGTATATTTTTTTGGTTCAAAGATGATTGGCGCATAGCCATGTGTGTGTGTGTGTGTGCATGTGTATGAACGAACAAATGATTTTTCTTGCTTTCCTAAACGAATCCTGTTGTTGTATTGCAATTCTGTTTATTCATTTCATTCTATGTTATTCATTCATTCGATTCATACATATCATCTTGACGCCCGTAAAAAAAACAGGCGTAATATTTCTTTCTTTTTCTATTTGATTTCTTAAGCCAAGAATAGCCATGTTACTGTACAATATCTTCATATATCATCATTTTCGTCTTTCATAAAGAATAAAAAAAAAAATGTCAATGAAATTCAATCATTAAGTGGCCGAAATAAATAAACATTTCTTTTGATTTGTGTTTGTTCAACACACACACACACACACACACACACATCAATGTAATATTTACATACCATAATCGATTGATTTATGATTTATTGTTTATTGTTCATTATTATCATCATTAAATGGAAATTTCGAGAGAATAATTCATCAATCGTGTATGGTAAAAGCAAATCATTCAAATGGTAATTATAATTGAATTTTTTTTTCGATGTTGATTTATTTAAAATTCGTCAGAAGAATTTTTTCTCTTCACTAGAAAAGTTATTTTTGTGTCCCAGCAAAAAAAAAAAAAAAAAAATTCTTGCAACACAGATGGTTGACAGAATTTTTTTTTTTGCAACAGCCAATTTGTTACAATAAAGAAAACAAAATTGAAAAAAGCAGCAAAATTGCAAAAAAAAGCAACAAAAAAATTTAAATTAAATTTTTTTTTTTCTTCTTCTTCGCTTGCGATTATATTGAACACAAAAGACAAAAAAAAATCAATTACAGTGAATCATGAAATAGAAAAAGAAATGAAAAGATTTGTGATGACAATTTTTTTTCCATGAAAAAAAAATTATAATTGAAAAAACGACGACCGCTGTCCATTTGCACACACACACACACACATGCTAAACAAACATTTTCATCTCCACAATCATCCACAGTTGTATATTAGTCATTAGACAATTTTTCTAACCAAAAAAAAGTAAAAATATAAAACTTTTGCTGTTTGCAAGATTTATTTCTCTCTCTCTCTCTCTCTCTTTCTATATATTTGCTTAAATTGACATTCGTGAATGAAATGAACAGAAAAAAAAAACTAAATCTAAACCATTATCAAGACAAACAAGGCAAAGAAAAAAAAAAATGTTTGATTCGTACTCCAATATTTCAATTTATTTCATGGCTGAATAGAATCCTATCCTATTCATTATGATGATTGTAATTTATTATTATCGATTATTTGTACCAACCCTAACAACTGAAACAAACAAACAAACAAAACAACAACAACAAAAAAAACAACCGGATTTTGGCAGCATATTGAAATCGTTTAGTTCACACATTCCAGAATCTAATTGAAATTGCCCTTGCTCTTTTTATTGTTTTTTCTTTTCTTTTTTTTTTTACTCGAGGGAGTAATAATACATTTACACATTCAATCAAAAAAAAAAAAAAAACATTGGCGACAATCATTTTGTCGACAATTCTCAAATTTTCGTTCAAGAAATTAATGACAATGAAATGGAAAAAAAATCCTTGAATAATGAGAAAAATGTAAAGACGACTGAGACCTTGCGTTCTTTTTTCTCTATTAATGGATAGAATTAATAATAATGGATGGATTTTTTTTCTTCTGATTGTCGATTTCGTTGATGGAATAATTATCGCACACACACATACACACACACACACTTGATAAGCTTCATCATTGAAGATTTCAATTCATCATCATCATCATTATTAATTAGCAGCCAATTGTAATAATTTGATGGTTGAATAGATTTGGAAAAGTATGAAAAAAAAAAAATGAAATTGTTGAAATTATAGACAAAATGTTTGTACATATTTGTGTGGGTGGACAATAAACGAAAAAAATTTTTTTTTTTTTTGAGGTCAAATGATTAATACAACTTCTTCTTTGTCGTTCAGTTAACGATGATGACACACACACCACACACACACAGACACACTAGAACAATTTGAATTCGAATGACATCGATCATTTTTTCAATTATCATCATCACCATATTATTATTATTAAACACAAGAATGACACAATTTTTTTTATGAATGATTGTCATGATGAATTAATTCTTGTGTGTTGTTCTTTTGAATCCGTAAAAATAAACGGGATCAACGAATTGATAGTTTGTTCGTTTTTTTTTGTATGTTGGTCATATCGACATTTATTTCTCTCATTGATGATGACAATGTTGCAATATTTTTTGTGCATGTGGCTTCAAGGAAGGAATTTAGATTAATTTTATCATTTCGTTCAACATTGAACAGTCCATTTGAAAATTCGATGATTATTTTTTTTCGTTTTTTTGAATAGAGACTGATTATTGAACGACGACGACGACAACAATTTTGTGATACAATCAATTTCCAATGCCTTTAACAGATGATATATACAACAATGATGATGTTGATGATAGTCTTGATAAATAGATGACCAAACAAATTTGAATATTTTTTTCTGCATTTCATCATTTTCCATTTTTTTTTTTGGATGGCAATATCATCATTGAAAATTGCCATAATGAATCGTTTTACCAAACAAATTGTAGCAATAATATCGTTAACATTGTTGGGTTGTCTTTATCTTCAACATGTATCGTAAGTTTTATCGATTTTGTTTTTGAAAAAAAGAAAAAAGAAATTTTAAAAATTATTCTTTAAAAAATTAATGATAATTTACCATTTTAAAGTGATTGTCAACGGCCATCAATTGCATTACATCAATCACAAAAATCATCACCATCGATAATTGATGAAAACAACAACAACAACAACAACAACAATAAGAGTAACAACAACAATAAATGTAAGCCACGTTCAAATATAGTGTTTATCAAAGCACATAAATGTGCATCATCAGCCATACAGAATATATTCATTCGTTATGGCTATTTTAATGATAAAATATTTGTCCTACCAAAAGATGGTAATTATTTGGGCCATCCACAACTATTTCAACGTTCATTAGTACCTGATCCACGTTCATTTAAATCCAATTACAATATATTGACACATCATTCACGATTAAATTATCGTGAAATGAGTCTATTGATGCCTAACAATACCATATTCATTACTATTATACGTAAACCAATCAATCTATTTGAATCAATGTTTCATTATTATAAATTGGATAAATTATGGACAATCACGTTCGATGATTTTAATCAACCAAAATCATTTATACCGAAAAAAGTGAAAGAAAATCGTTTGGTTGGAAAAATTGGCATTAATCAAATGATGTTCGATATGGGAATGACACCGAAAGATTTTGAAAATGATGACAAAATTCGTCATTTTATACAACGTTTAGATTCAGTATTTTCACTAGTCATGGTTGCTGAACGTATGGAAGAATCATTGATTCTATTGAAACGTTTACTTTGCTGGAATTTCGATGATATCGTCGTGTTCAAGGTATTCATGATTATTCAAAAACATTCATCTAATAATAATACTTGTTTATGTGTTTCATTTGATTAGGTGAATGCACGAAATACAAATTCCAAACATCATCTCAATGCTACCGGTATCAAACGTATTGAACAATTAAATCGTGCTGATCAAATGTTATATGAACATTTTACCAAAAAATTCGAACGTGAAGTAAGAAAATTTGGCCAAAAAAGAATGAAACGTGAAATCAATACATTACGGACACGTACAAAAAGCTATTATGAATTGTGTGTGAATAAAACGATTACAAATTCAAAAAGTCAAATTGTTCGTTTCGTTACTAGACGTGAAGATAATCTGATGTGTCAATTTTTGACCAATAATGAATTGAGTCTGACAAAATTCATACGAAAAGAACAGATTAAAAGATATCCTTCATCAGTCTTCCAAAATTAATTTAGTCATCGATTTTTTTAAAAATGTAAATATATTCCCGTCACTCATTGATTACCGGTGCCTTTTTCATCACAAAAATTTTAAGCAATTTGTTATTTTTTCAACAAAAAAAACAAATTCCAAACATTTTGTCGTTGTTGTTGTTTTTGTTATAAAATTGTTGATTTGATTATGAAAATTAATATTTCGTGTTACATTATAATAAAAAAAATGATTCAATTTCTTCGTTGAAATTGTATTGGAAATTGTGCGGCTGGATGAATCATATTTATTTCTGGTATGGTATCACCATAATTATCCAATGATTGGATCATATATCGTCCAATAATGTTGATGAGAAATAGACGCATTTGCATCATTGCATATTCTTTGCCAATACAAGAACGAATACCAGCACTAAATGGTAAAAAAGCTGCACGTATTGATATATGATGATCGGTTTCCGTATCGGTTAAAAATCTTTCCGGATTAAACATATCCGGTTGTTTAAAATATTTTGGATTACGGCCCATTTTCCAGAGATTGAAAAGAACATTAACACCAGCCGGTATGCACATACCGTTGGCCAATAGCAATGGTCGACGGCCACAACGTCCAATTATTAAACCCGGTGGATATAGTCGTAATGTTTCTAATATACAACATTCAAGGAATTTCAATCGTTTCATATTCATTATAGTAATCTTTTCATTATTATCATCCAATTCATTGAGAAATTGCCGAATTTCATTATATAAACGTTCTTGAATCTGTTGATGATGTCCAAGTTGATATAAACACCATGTTAATGTTGTTTTCGTCGTATCATATCCGGCTATTAGAATTAAATTTATATGGGCGCGAATTTCTTCAATTTTAGATACATTTCCATCATTTAATCTTGTTCGAATAAGCGTATCTAATAGTGTAGTAGTAGTAGCATTACTAACAGGTTGACAATTTTCAGTTTTCACGTTTTCTTTGATTCGATTCGTAATAATCTGTTTTTCAATGACAAATTGTCGTTGAAAATTTATCGTTGAAAATCTCAAACAATATAGTACATACCTGAAGAACTGCGGAGTTTAAGCGATGACAAACATCAGTGAGTCTACGCGAAATCAATGATAAAAATAAATTTCTATTATGAGTAAAGTAAATTGCAAGATTAGCCAACGATTTCGAAGCCACATGAATGGTTTCATCAACTACATCAACACAATCTGCTACTTTGAAACAGGAACCAATCGAATTGAATTCGATGTTGAAGAAATTGACTGTTAAAGGAGAAAGAGTATGAAATATAAAAAAAATTTCTGAATTTATTAATTTACCGCCTATAGTATCGGCAATGAAACTAGCGACAATAGGTTTAGCATCCTTGAATCGGCCATCACCATCATCGATACATTTATCAATATTTTCATTCAAAAGTTTTAGATATTTTTCAACATTTGAAAAATAAAAATTCAATGATTCCATCCGAAAATGTGGTGACATTTCACGTTTATGTTGTCGTAATGTATCTCGATTACTTCAACCAAATCATAAATCATTAACGAATCAAACAAATTTAAACAGTAACTTACCAACTGAATAAATTATCCAGAATTAAGAAACGAAATAATTGATATTGCATTGATTTATCAAGGAAATCACCACTAGTCAATATTTTTCTTGCAATCACTGGATCCGTTACAATGATATGTGTTGCAGGTTTTGGTAGAAAACGAAAAATCCCTACTGATTCATATTTATCGGCCAGACGATTAATTATGCAAAAAAAATCTAAATTGAATGAAATTTCAAATTTTTATTCAAATATTACAAAATTGATTATCAAAAATCTTACTATAGTATGGATCTTTTGATAATAAAAATTCACGAATAATTTTCCACCAGGAAAAATTTGCATCCGGAATCCGTTTCAAATGTTCATATATTTCATATTCAAACCATCTAAAAAATCGATAAAATCTGATTAAAGTATAAACAAATGATACCATAATAATGGCAATGATGAGCTGAAATATTATCATCATTATAATATAGAGTTAATTGGATTATTTTTTTCGGTAAAAAAAAAGAAATAAATTTGTTCATTACTTACCATTTTTATATAAATAATTTCTGGTGGTTCTAGTTATGAAAAACATTCTAAAACAATCATGTTTTTGATTTCCAATATTTCATATACACACATGTATATTATATTGACGATATTGACAAAATGGTGTGAAAAAAAAACTTTTTTGTATGTATGTTTGTGTGTGAGTGTGAATTCAGGAATCGTGGGAAAATTAATATGGCAAGGAGGTATTGTAATGATTGAAACCTGAAATTGACGCATATAAATTTAAATTAAAAAAAAATTTTTTACCTACATTTATTAAATCAATAAAGTTGCATCTGGCATAATATCCATCAATTATCATTTATGGTTAACACCCATTCAGGATCAAAACAAAATGGGTTGACATACATTTTCTCCCATATTGTACGATACTTGACATTCGGACAAAGTAGCTTTGAATAGCGTTGATTGATTTAATGTTATATAAAAGCAAACTTGTCTTCGAATGTCGTTAGGACATAATGAGTGATGTTCGATGTATAATTTTTTGATTCAATCATCTTTAAAGCGAGAGAAAAATTTAAAAATATAAAAAAATTTTATTCAATCAACGTTTATTTGGCGCGATTTTCGAATGGTAAATAATAAAATCAAAAAAAACTTTTTCCACACCAATGGGATACACCAGTCGAAACAGACGTTGTTTCATTTGTTGATGTCACACATTTCAAATGATGAAAATAATTTGATTCGATTGAAAATAAAATGTCAAAACGTAAACAAAAAGGACTTGTTTTGTTGGCCTATTCGGATTCCGAACATGAAGAAGATCAAGATGAAGAACCACAAGATTATGATGAAGATGAAAATGATGAATTGAAATCCAACGATGAATCAAATGAACAATCGATGACTGTGGATGATGGTGATGATGATGATGATGAACAATCAAAAAAATCGGCCGAAAATCAGAAAAAAATCTACTTCGAAGACATTTATGGTGATCGCGATCTGTCCATACTTGAATTTCATCAATCATTATTAGGTAAAACAAATGCTGATGATATTGAAATACCACCGGCAACTCGAATACCATGTCCAGACGAACTACAAGATCAGATTGAAAATTTATATGAAAAAGTTAAAAATGGTTATGATCTTATACATGCTATACAGCAACGAAAATCTATGAGAAATCCAAGTATTTATGAAAAAATGATTTCCTATTGTGAAATCAACGAAATGGCAACCAATTATCCAAAAGAAATATATGATCCAGAACCATTTTTACAAACAGAATCATTCTATGAAGAATTATCACGACAACAAAAAGAAGAGATGGAGAAACGTGAAAAAGAGAAACAAAAACAAAAAACATTATTATCATCAACAACATCTACAAGTGGTGAAAATAATAATAATAAGAAAAGTAAATGGGATTCCAGTTCCAGTACTGTTTCAACATCATCATCAACATCGGCAGCCATGGCTGCTGCATTAGCAGCAGCAAATAAAGTTAAACATTTGACCAATAGTAATCAACAACAACAACAACAACACCATCATCATCATCATCATTCATCGAATAAACCAACAGTCATTTCAGCATTTGGTACAATTTCAAAAAAGAAATAGAAAAATGTTTTTTTATGAAAAATTTTTTTTAATATTTTTTTTTTCAAAAAAATTCCCAAATAATTAAAATTGATTAATAAGTACAAATTTTTATTTTTCTGTTTTGTTCCGTTTAATTGATAATCAATCATTTCGTTACATTCGAATTCGATTATATGCCGATCGATTGGTGGTCATATAACGTTGTTTTCTTTTGTCTTTTTTATAGCCCATTGTAAAAACAACCAAAAATGCTGAAACCAATGCCATGAATTGAATGAATGCAAATATGATTGATGTAATACCGACACCATGAATATTTGTTAATAGATAATAATGAATCTTTTGTATACAGCCAAATTTCCAGATAAATTTTAAATCAGATTCAGCATCATAACCACAATCAATAGATGTATTGTTCATTGGACGACAACAGCTATTTGGTACACGTAATTTTTCTGGCCATGCATTAATCTGATACCAATCCGTATAATTATTTACACCACAACAATGAAAATTTGATTGTATATGATCCCATGTAGATTGTATACCATTTGTATCGTTTAATGAATATCGTTGTTGTATACCATTCAATAGTTCACTTTGTAATGTATTCGATATTTGTGATTGAAATATAAAACATATTAAACCGATGAATATTTCTATAATCATAATGAATATGATGGAACTTAAATATAGGACCAATAAACATTTGCTTTGAAACCATGATCCACAACAGCCACAAAAGGCAACTAAAAATGTGATTGAACCAATGAATAAGGCAAGATTATCGGCTGATAATAAATGATATGATGGTAAAATTCTTGCATAAGTATTATATGAAACATATAGCCATATTCCGATTCCTAGTATACAGCTTCCAGCCAACTTGAAAAAAAAGAATTAAATTCCAAAATTGAAAATCATACAATAATCGAATAATGAGAAACAAAACAAAAAAAAAAACATACCCATACGATTAGGTTGAACAAACAAAGAAATCGGCGAATAAATGTGTAGCCAGTTGCCATTATGGTTAATGTACAATTCATCAGCATGTTTTTTTTTATTTATACAAAAAAAAACTTAAATAGCTACTGATGATGATGATGATGATGATAATGAGGAAGAATTTTAAAAGAGATCATGAACTCGCAATTGATGGTTGATAATCATTGATATAATACCAGTGTTTGATGGATATGATAAAGAGATAATATATTGCACACTATATATCTCTCTCTCTCTCTCTAGTTATAAAAATAATATAATATCTATATCTAGTTTAAGGTTTCAAATTATTTTCTTGTTTCGAATGTTTGTATGTGACTTGACATAATATTAATAATAATAATATAATTTGTTCAATGTCATTTAGTTGATAATTTGTTGAAATTTAAAACAATTCTGGAAGACTTGGTGGATAAAATTCGAATCCTGGAATGTCCATTCGATGTTGGTGATGATTAACACACACATCACCCATCAAAAGGCAATCAAATCAATGATCATGTAAAGTTATGGTTATGTTAATGACACGACGACAATCATTGACGAGGCCAACAACAACAACAACAACAAAAATAATCATAACAAATAATTATTTTTCATTCGAAAAATAGTGTATCATTATAAACGATGTTTGTTAAACATTCAATGAATGATAATCATCAAAATCAACATCAGCAACAACAAAAAAAATAAAAAAATAAACGGCTTCAACGTGCCAACATCATGATTTTCTGGGCGTCGGAATCATGTCAATGTTTTTTTTTCCAGTTTGTTGGTTAACACAATCGTATAAAGGCCGTTTACTTGCTTGCTTGCCATTCGCCATCTTCATTAGATTCGACAATCATCAAAAAAAATGTTTGTTTGTTTGTTGTTGTTGTTGTTGATGATGATATCCATAACATTAACCAAAAAGTAGCAAAATTGTGAGAATATAAAAATGAAGAAGAAAGCTAGAGAGAGAGAGAGAAATATGAGAAAACCTGTTGACATGGTGATGAAGATGCCTGGCCATACCACTACTACTGCTACTATAGTTTTACCGCTGGTAATTTTATTATCATCACCCATTTTTTTTTTAATTTTGAAACAATTTTTTTTTCAAAATTTAAAAAATCATTTTTGAATCGAATTTGTTGCTTTCATAAATCAACTCTTTTTTTCGTCGATTGATGATGACTATAATTACTTGTAATTATCCCTTGTAGCGATCCATTGTAATCGAAATAGCCATATATGTGTGTACGTACTTTATGACTACGATTATTAATTGATCGGCTGATTGTTTATTCGCGGTCCAATTTTTAGTCTTTGATTTTTTTTTTTTTTTTGATAAAAACAAAATGATTTTCGAAAAATTCAAATTAGACTTGAAAGTAAGTATACTTAAGTTGATGTAGAATATTTAAACAATTTTTTTTCGGTATATTTAGAATTGCATTCAAAGTTTTCTGACGGATGGCGACAAAGATTTGGTTCTAAGTTTATTGAATACAACCGAACGACAACATTATGAAAATGATTTTAAAGTCATTGTTGATACCATCATTCGAGAGGTTTTATTATTGACATTAGCTTCGGTAAGTATTTTTATCGCTAAGAATCACTCTAAATAATCGATTGATTTAAGGAAAAGGAATCTGATTATGAGAAATTGAAACGTCTACTGGAATTATCGATCTCATTGGCCAAAATCGAATATTGTTCCATTAATACACCGATTGTTTTACTAAGTGAATTACTAGATTGTTGTACATTGAAAGAATGTGAGCTATTATTCTCGCTCATCGATGACAATATTTACATTTGGAAAGAGGATTTTTTCTTCAAAAATGTTAAAAATCAATTACTTCGCACGTGTAATGATTTACTTCGAAGACTTTCAAGAAATCAAAACACCGTATTCTGTGGACGTATTCTGATTTTTTTGGCAAATTTTTTTCCACTTTTTGAACGATCTGGATTGAATTTAACATCCGAATTCAATCAGGATAATTCAACATCATATTCATTGCAAGAGGATGAAGAACTTGAAGAAAATCTACCTGATGATGATGATAAAAATGTGACGGATGAAAAAGAAGTCGATCGAATCAAAGTGGATATGAATTTCTATAAAAAATTCTGGCAACTACAGGAATATTTTCGTAATCCAACCATTAGTTATCAGAGGAATAATTTTAAAAATTTTCAAAATTACTGCAATGAAGTTTTATCCGTATTCGCTGGCTACAAAATTGATCCAAATTCCTGTTTCTATTTTCAAGCACTTGGACTTGATAATAGCAATCATAACAATGATGATAAGTCAATATTTTTTGTCAAATATTTGACGAATCAAAAATTATTGGAACTTCAATTAAGCGATTCAAATTTTCGTCGTCATATTCTCATACAGATTCTAATTGTATTCCAGTATTTTACATCGAACGTTAAATTCCGTGTATTGGAGAATGCTTCAATGAATGATGAACAATTATCATGGATAAATAATATTCGAATCAAAGTTCATCAGCTTATCGAAGAAACACCACCGAATGGAAAAGAAGTTCGTAAAGTTATTGAACATTTATTGAATCGTGAAGAATTCTGGAATAATTGGAAAAATGAAGGCTGTTGTGAATTGAAACAGATTGATGAACCTGAAGATGTACGTAAACGTACAGCCGATTATATTGCATCGACATATGTTGTATCACAGAAAAGAGCTCGACTTGGTGAACATGTACGAAATGCCATCAATAATAATAAAATTCTCATCGGAAATGCTGAATTGAATCGATTATGGAATTTTTGTCCCGACAATCTGGATGCTTGTCGTTCGGAGAAACGAATTTTTACGCCAAAACTTGAACAATTTTTTGAGCCACTTCTGAAACGACCTTCAGAAGAACGTCAATTTTATTGTTCTGATCCAAATTATTGTTGGAAATCATTGCGTTTATTATGCCAGAAAAGTAATTATTTTTTCGTACCAAGTAATCAGGTAGTGAAACCAGTGGCCGATTATCTTGAAGGTGTCATTGAAAAATTGGCAAAAGATTATAATTTTTCTACACCAAAAATTCAAAATTCCAACAACAACAACAATAACGGTAATAGCAACAACTTGAATAATAATAATAATGATGATAATAAAACCGAAACAGAAGATATAAGTGATGATGAATTATTGAAAAATGTTGATTCAAATTCTGTACGTAGTAATGAAGATGATACAATGGATGATATGGATATGAATGTAAATGATTCGAATAATAATGACAATAATACAAATAATGCTGACGATGTAATCACCAACAATATAATTGATCAGATTTCTATTAAAATACAGGATTTATGGGATGAATTATCACCATTATTTGGATTTACTGTAAGTTTTTTTTTATTTTGAAGTTATTTTTTATAATTTCTGAAAAATCGCTTGTGCTTTACAAAACACAGGATGATGAATTGGAATATATCAAAGAATGTTATCCAGATCGAGTGGCCAGAATTAAACATCTGATTACAATATGGAAAGATGAACAAGGTCCTGAAGAAGGTAATCTGAAAAAATTACAAAAAATAATCAATTCAATTAAACCAGATATGACCATTATTAATTGTTAATGTGTATTTCAATAATAATAAAAAAAATTTTGAAAAAAAAATTATATTCGTACTCTATGAACGTCTTAAGAGTTTTTTTTTATTGAGCAGCAGCAGCAGCAGTAGCACATAACATTGTCTGTATATATACAAGGAGCATCGAATGTTTTGAAGTGCATTGAGCCCAATGATCGAAAAAAAAAAAATCTTGACACTCAATATTGAATATGATGATGATACCAATACAGATACACAAAAATAAACGACTGTGTTGCTATACACACACACACTCTCATCTGGTTCATGAACCGATGAATATTTTTTGTAACCATCAATGTTGATAGAAAATATAATACTGTTTTATTATATGTGCCACACATATTGTATTGTATGGTATTATAGAGAATTTTGTTCCGTTCCATAATTCAACCAAAATTTATTTGACCAACGTAAAAAAAAGAACCACCCCCTTGCTACTCTCATTTTGTAATCTAACAGCGGCGCCTAAATATATATATTATGTGTATGTGTCAGTGAGTGTTGGATTTCACATTTCATGATTGTCATGATCATCATCATCATCATCATATAGCGATACAGAACACGCCAAGCCCAAAAAAAAATTGAACACTCTATGACTATGTCAATGAATATTTTCGATTATAATGTTTTGAGTTTTTCTTCATCTTGTAAAAGTTTTTTTCATTCATTCATTCCCTCTTCATTATCGATTCTATATTTTGATCATTTTTATTAATTAAAAATATCATCATCATTCCATTTATCGATTTCTTCACATCATCATCATCATCATCATTTTATATATTATAATATTGATTGAATGAAAGAATCAATGTCCACGTTTGAGCAAGAATCAAAAAGAAATGTATTCATAGAAATACATAGTTGAATTTTATTGTTATTTTTAAAAAAAAAAATCAACTAATAATAATAATCAATGGGTAATTGTTGTATAAAAGATAAAGTTCCTTCGGGAGCTGTATCGAATGGATATCCCGGTGCGGATATATTACGGCAACCACCATCATCAATGAATGCTCCTGTTATGACTGGACCAGTTAGTGGCCATCAAGGTTTCAGCGTTAGCCATGATTCAATGAATCTGAATAGTGCTGGCCTATCATCAAATATGAATAATCCATTACCATTGTTACCATCATCGATAGATAATAATGGTGTCAATCCTGGTGGTGGTGGCGGTATGGTTGATCCATCATTATCTGCGATAGTACAACAGAATTCCGGTAGTGGAAATATTTGTACAAATTCATCATCAAATACATCGAATGCAAAGATATTTGTTGCATTATATGATTATGATGCACGAACCGATGAAGATTTGAGCTTTAAAAAAGGTGAACATTTAGAAATTATTAATGATACACAAGGCGATTGGTGGTTGGCCATGTCCAGAGTGACCAAATTACAAGGCTACATTCCTTCGAATTATGTGGCCAAATTGAAATCAATCGAAGCTGAACCGTAAGTTATTTATTTATTATTCCCATAAATTCCAACAACAAAATTGTCGTCCGTTTCATTTTTTTTTGTTCTTTTATTATTTTATCTAGCTTAGTTTTTTTTTTTATAGATAGAAAAGTCTTTATCTTGATAGTATGTTTTTATTTCATCCTGAATGTGTGATTTTCAAAACCGAAATCAATTTTCTTGAATCAAAATTTTTGATTAATTTCTATTTTACTATAATTATTATTATTTGATGCCATACAAACCAAAATCAAATCAAATCAAATGCTGTCCACGCAAAATATAGTTGGATTCGAAATTTCGATTGTATTTTGAAACGAAATTCTACACATTTATCTCCGACTTCGTCGACTGTACCACTCGAAAATTACTTGTAATAATATATCTTTTTCATTTTGAAAAAAAATTGAAATTTTCTTTTCAATTTCATTTTGTTTTGATTTGTTTTTTGTTTCGTTTTGTCTTGTTTTGTTTTTTGATTTTGACATTTTTTTATAATTTTGTTTTGGAATTATTTAATTACTTTTTTTCCTATATTTAATTCATCATTGTTTGACTAATTAATGATTTTGTCTTCTAATTGATCTACATAGATGGTATTTTGGTAAAATTAAACGAATTGAAGCAGAGAAAAAGCTATTGCTACCTGAAAATGAACATGGAGCATTTCTCATTCGAGATAGTGAAAGTCGACGAAATGATTATTCATTATCAGTACGAGATCATGATACGGTTAAACATTATCGAATCAGGCAATTGGATGAAGGTGGATTTTTCATTGCAAGACGTACACCATTTCGTACGCTACAAGAATTGGTCGAACATTATAGTAAAGACGCGGATGGCCTTTGTGTTAATCTACGAAAACCTTGTGTTCAAATTGAAAAACCAACAACCAGTGGCCTTTCACATAATACCCGTGATCAATGGGAAATTGATCGTAGTTCATTGAAATTTGTACGAAAACTTGGCCAAGGACAATTTGGTGAAGTTTGGGAAGGTTTATGGAATAATACTACACCGGTAGCCATTAAAACATTGAAACCGGGAACAATGGATCCAAAAGATTTTCTTACCGAAGCCCAAATAATGAAAAAATTAAGGCATGCTAAACTTGTACAATTATATGCCGTCTGTACGATGGAAGAACCAATATATATTATAACTGAATTGATGAAAAATAGCAGCCTTTTGGATTATCTACAGGGAAAAGGACGAAATCTTAAATTACCACAATTGATCGATATGTCCGCACAAATAGCGGCCGGTATGGCCTATCTAGAATCACAAAATTACATACATCGTGATTTGGCAGCTCGTAATATTCTTGTCGGTGAGAATAATATTGTAAAGATTGCTGATTTTGGTTTAGCACGTTTGATCAAAGAAGATGAATACGAAGCACGTGTTGGTGCACGTTTCCCAATTAAATGGACGGCTCCTGAAGCAGCTAATTATAGTAAATTTAGTATCAAATCCGATGTATGGAGTTTTGGTATTTTACTTACGGAATTAGTCACTTATGGACGTATACCATATCCTGGAATGACAAATGCTGAAGTTTTATTACAAGTAGAACATGGATATCGTATGCCATGTCCACAAGGTGAGATTTTTTTTTTTTTGATTCGGAATTTTCATTTTTTCTAATTTTTTTCTCTTACGATTCAAGGTTGTCCACCTAATCTGTATGATATAATGTTGGAATGCTGGAACAAAGAACCATTGAAACGGCCAACATTCGAAACATTGCAATGGAAATTGGAAGATTTCTTCACATTGGAAGGTTCCGAATACAAGGAAGCATCAATGGCATATTAATTGATTGATGATCCAGTTTTATTTTTGTTGAAATGATTTTCCGAAAATAATCAATTAATTTTTACATTGAAAAAAAAATCGTATTTCATTTCAACGACGTGTTGGCAAATTTTTTTTTTGTATTATATTTTTAATGAAATGAAATTATATTAATCACCGGTCAAGTCATTACTACACAATCGCCACAACACTATTTTCAGGCCATAATCCAAATGATGATTTCATTTTAATTTTTAAATTCATCAAATTTCATTTAATTATTAGCTCATTGAATATTCTTTGCGTTTTTTTTGTAATCACCATTTCTATTTATATATATCTATTTATCATCATCATTTAAGTTTATTTAAAATTACCCGGCTTTTAAAAAAAACGGATTTTTTGTAATTTTTTTCCGCTTGTCACTCCAAGATTTTAACTGATAATAATAATAATCATTGTTCCGGAAAAAATGAACTAATTTTGAATGAAAATTGTTTTGGATCGATACAAAATATAATAATAATCATGCGTGATTTTTTTTTTTTAATGTTGACCATTTTAAAAATAAAAACATGGACCCAATGAAAACAGATGAAACAGACAACAACAACAAATGTTTGATGAAGATGATCGTTATGGCCATTATTATTATTGATGGTTGTCATCATCGATCGATTCTGTTTATGATTGTATCGAAGTATTGAACATCGATTACAAAATCATCATCATGAATTTAAATGCCAATACAATATGTTTGAAACAAACACATTTACATGATTTTTTTTCTGTAACTGCGTGATCTGTGTTTGTGTGTGGTTTATGATTAACATTGTGAATATTGGAAATGACCTTTTTTTAACTTTTCCCAAAATTAAAAATCAAAGCATTGTATATGAATATTGTAATTTGTGCTTGAAATATAATAATGTAATGTCTTGTTTGGAAAATAAATTTTTTGTTTCTTTTGACAATAATAATAATAAATATATATATTGTAATATGTTAACGATTGAAATATTGATTGTGAAAACAGAAAAAAGGATTAGATTTAAGATGAATTAGATTTTGTAATATTTTTTTGTTTTGTTTGTTTGTTAAATGAAAATGTATGTGTGTAGCACATTAGTATTGTAACGATAAAGACTAGTGGATTTGATTAAACAAATTCTGGATTGAAATCTGCATTGTGTAAGTTTTTCTGTGTATGTGTGTGTGTGTATGTTTGGTTATTAAGTAAAATAGAACATCTTATTATTATTATTATAAGTATGATTAACCGATAATCACCACCACCACCACCAATGTTGGCTTGGCCATAACTTGACATTATTATTAGCTATTAGACATTATCGATATTATTTTTAATATTGTTGATTCTTGTTGATTTGATGCTTGTTGTTGTTGTTGCTGCTGCTGGACCAATGGAACGCGTAATTGTGATGATGGTGGTGAATCCAATGAAATCGTTCGAAATTGATCCGGATTTTGTCCATCAATAACTTGTGTATATTCGGGTGGTTTATAATCTGGCAATTTGGTTGCTTCATCATAATCGGGTGGTGGAATATTAGCAGCACGGCCGGTTATAATCAATGGTGGTAAATCATGATCAAACTGTCCACCAGCACCGATACCAGCAGTCAAACCACTAGCGGTTGCTGCATTATGCAATGTAATAGGAAGTATGAATTCTTTCATATGCAAATAACGATAACATTTCCATACGACACAAAGAAAGTATGTCTTGAATATCATGAAAAATGTCATGACCAACAATGTTGTCGTATAGACTTGAAAATTACGTTGATAGGATGATGCCCAAACCGTTGTGTTTGCTAAATCATCAAAATCTGATGTGCCAAGCTTCGAATCCGGTACACTATTCACACCATGAATTTCCATCATATTTTTTGTTGTTTTTGCCGAAGTTGCATAATAATGGTATGGATTAGTGAATAATGCAAAGAATTGTGGCAAAGTGAATAGATAATCAATGAATTGTATGCCAAAAAATGGCAATATATATCTTGGTTTCGATTTAATAACACCATAGAGAAGCATAGCCGATACCCAAGCCAACAATAGATACATCAACACTGAGATCAGATTGATTCTGCTGGTTTCATCACGAACAAAACGAGCAGCAAAATAGCTATGATGATCATTGCTTACCATGAAGAAGAATGTCAACAGGGCACAAATCAATGAACCAGCCTAGCCAATCGAAAAAAAATGTGTTACAATGTTAATCAATTGGAAAAATATTCTATCAAAAATAATTACCAGATTAATGACAGCCACAAAAATGGTTGCAGGTCTTACATGAAGACAAAGACAATAGGCATGTCGTTCGACATTGATATTATTTGAGGCAATTGATGATGATACACGTGCCATCATAATTTGATTTTCATTCAATGGACAACAATTTTTGAATCGAATCTTATCGTCGTTTTTTGTTTGAAATTTTTTTTTATTGATTAATGATGATGATTGTAACCAATAAATAAATGACACTCAATTTTCGAAGTTAGATCAACACATACACAATAAACAAAAAAAAATAGCTACTCAATATTGGTCGTTGGGGAAAAAAAAATTAGCTCAACATGCGCAATGAATTCTGTCGTTATCGACCCAGAAACAATATAACCCACCAAATACTCTTCTTCATTCTCACATTGCCAAATAGATGGCAGTATTGTAGTTGAATTTTTTTTTAATTGTCTTCGATTTGCCGGAACTTTAACCTTATTATTGTCGATATAATTTGCTCTGAATAAGAATGATGAAAAATCGATTTCGATCTTACGATAATTGTTATCAGATTCAATTGATGGAGGTATTGTTTGTTCCATTTATGGTCTGTATATTATTAAATTCCTTGTTGTTGTTGCTGTTGTTGTTGTTGTTGTTGTTTACCAATCGATGATAATGTCCTAATTTTAATGTCCCTTTTTATTTGTTGCAGTGAGAAAAATTCGTGTGACTCAATTAGTATGGCCATTATCATTACTACAATGAGAAAAAAAACGCAAAGAAATATTCTCAGTATACGTCTGTGAAATAATTGCCTACAATGATCGATCCATTTAGGTAGAATTCAAGGAAACCTGAAAACTGAAAAACACCAAACACAACAAGCTAAATGAGAAAAAAAATACAGCTAGCAAACAAACAAGCCAAACGAAATCGAAATGATTCATCTCGCCGAAAATCATGGCCGCCATTATGGTATCATGAGAAGAAATGAAATGAAAAAAAAAACGAAAGACGAAAAAAAAAAAGAATCGAATTGTTATGGAACGAGAAAAAAATTTCCACACATTTCATTTGCTGTTACTGTCTGGCTATTGTCTTCCATTGTCATCATCATTGTATTTTCATTCAATTCTGGTAAGTCATCAAATGATTGATTGGGCGATTTTGAGTGGCGATAATATAATGCTCATTCGTTATACCAATCATCATCATCATCATCAATGACTTTTTTCTGGTTCAATTGAAATATCCAGAAAAAAAATGTATGGTGGTAGTTTTTGTGGTTGTGGCCAGTAGTTTTTTTTCTCTCCAATTTTAACAATGAGAGAGAAAAAATATAAAAAAAACGCCGAAACACTAGCCACAATTACCGAAGAAATTTACCTTGATCGGTTGTAGAGGTACAAAAAAGAAGAATTCTGGTCACATTCCTAGTTCATTGTCATTATTATGTGGTTCGGAACAATAGAATCCAATGCGTTCCACCATACACAATGCACCGACAAAACAGAAAAGTGTGTGTGTGTGTGTGTGTAGAAATTGCTAACAAAGATGAAAAACATACGACAAAAAAAAGCGAATATCTCAAAGAATAAAAGTAGTATATTACTGGTGGTGGTGGTGGTGGTGGTGGTTGTTGTTGTCCAGAATATACTGTGTATATGTGTGTATCATTGAAATTCATTTTGAATCATTAAAGGACGTCGTTGTCATTTTTTTGTATAAAAACTAGTTGTATGTTATGATAAATGGCATAACTTTTTTTTTTTTTTTGGCCGTCGATAATCGATTTTATTCGGTTATTCGACGCATAGTAATAAATACCATTGATTATTATTATAATCAACAACATTTTTTTTCCAGTTTATCTGTGTCAATAACAACAACAACAACAACAACAACAACAACAGTGGACTGATTGTTTATTACTGGAACGATTATTCGTTTACTAAACAAGAAATAAAAATCATTATCATCATCATCCATTTAGATGAATCTCGATTGATTTTTTTTTGCTTTTTAATTAAAATTTTCTTTTTGAATACACGAATAGAAGAAGGAATTTACCTTGTGTGTGTGTGGATGGGTGTACAGTTATTTCATAAATATTTCAACGACAACAACAACAACAACAGTGAAACGACCATGAAATCGATTTAACAATGATGATGATGATGATGATGATGGTGACATTTTTGTTGTTGTTGTTGTTGTGAATCTTTCTTTCATTTTGAATTTTGTTACACACTATGTTTTTCTGGTCATGGAGAAAAGAATCCAACTGGATCGTATATGAAACGTACGCACGAACGATTGATAAAAAATGAATGAATTTTATCATTCGGTTTGGATGAAAAAAAAACCCGGAATCGTGATTAAACTATCAAATTTAATAACGGTGAAAAAAAAAAAACAGCGAGTGAATTTTTGGGTTTCATCTATCCGCCATCATCAAGGTTTGGATTTTCATTTTTATCGGTTTTTTTTGCCATTCTTGAAAATTTAGAAAAAATATATTCGTAAGTACATTTAAATATTGAATAAAATTTTTTCATCTATTTTCTTTCCTTTCTGCGATGAATTCCTAGCTCTAGTCCTTCATTTACTAATCGATTTTTAATAAAAAAAATGAATATAATTTTTTCAGTGAGAAAATAAATTCCTCATCGTTTGGGGCCATCACCAGTACATCAATTGATCATGAGGTCGGCACCAAGATGATCATCATTACCAAAAAAGGCTCATCTTGTTTTTTTTCAATGAAATTTATCCTGTGATTAGTCAAATTTAACTCTAATCTAAGCTTCAAATTTAGAATCAGATAGATTGATAATATGCATCCGATTAATAATTCATTGATTGATTGCATTTGCAACATTTGAAACAAAAAAAAAAAAAAATTCAATTTTCATCTCATTTTTGCTTTTGTTATGTTTGTCTCTTTTTTTTCCTTGAACTAACCCTGTGAATGAAATTTAGTGAAAATTTAGTGAACAAAAATTCTGTGCCTGAAGTTTTTAACACCAATCATAACCAATATAAACATAGCAAGCAAATTTTACATTAAGCACGGTATTGTTGGTATCGAAAATCATTGCTATAAATACTGTAAATATATTGTGTTTGCCTTATCATAATCATCGATTCATAATGTAATTGTCCAATCAATTGATCAATCATTCAAATCAATCGAATGCCATAATGTTATGAAAAGTTGTTCCAAAAACTAAAAAAAAAAAAAAATCCAATTATGATTGATGATCAATTGAATTCCATCGAATGCTAACATGATTTGATCATCATAAACACCATTGCCATTGTTTTACAACAACAACAAAAAAAAACAAACAAACAAAAACAAACAAATCTAGATTGATATCATTGTTTATTTAAAATATAACTTAGAAAATTGATATAATTAATGTAAATGATGATTGCCGTTAATCAATTAGCCGGTCTTGTTATCGTTGTTGCCATTCAATAATAATAATGATAATTGATGAATGATCATCGTGTGATATAAACAAATAAACAAAAATTAGCATATACATGTGTCCAGTGCCTGCCTGAATTCATATTCATATATTCATAATCAGATCAATCATTTGGAATCTTGTTTTTTGTTTTGTTTTGTCTTGTTTTGTTTTGCATCATCAACACATTTGATATCAGCTATGATTGAATTGATATTAGCATTACCATTATTATTGTTATTATCATAAGAAAAAATATCATATTGATATATATTATGAGCAGTGCAGCTGTGATTGGCCGACAATTACGGCAACAACAGACAACTAATCGGGCACCTGGACCAGTAGTACCGCCAACACATTATCGAGGTAGACCAATCAACATTAATCATAATTATAATGATCAACAACAAATATTTTTGGCCAATGGTGTTGATTTTTTCAATGATCAAGGCGCTGATGTTAATTCAAAATTTGCCAAATTTTCGCAACAATATAATCATAGTTCATATGAATTTTATCCACATCCTGCACATCGTGAAACAAATAATAATAAAAAACATGGTCATGGTCATATGAATAAATCTGTAAATAATAATAGCAACGGCAGTAGCAAAAAAACGAAAGAAAATCAAATGATTTTTAGTAAACATTGTTTTTGTGTTGCATTCAAAGCATTAAGTACGGGTGTTATATTATTTTCAATCGGTACCATTATGTCTATTGTTGGATTTTTTGCCGATTCATTAGCACTGGAACCAATTCAATTGAATAATGGTACCTATACTACTACTATTAATAAAGATACCAAATTACATTTACATAATATGACTTATGTTGGCCCAGTCATAATGGGTCTTGGTTTTATCGTTATTGTTGCCGCTTGTGTATTAACGTTCGAAGTACGTGATACATTGGGCATTAAAGATGATCCAAAAAATAGAAAAAAATCTATTCAACAAAATCATCATCATCATCAACAACAAACAACCACCACCACCACCACCACCACCACCATTAGCATTACCGCCAACGATAAATCAAAGTGATAATAATAAATCCAATAAAGATAGTAGCATCGTTACAATTGATAATACAAAATCTTCCATTAAGAATCATCAAAATCATCATCATCATAATAATAATCATCATCATCATTCAAAGAATATGGATGAAAAGAAAATGTCGAGCAATTCAACTACTACAATCGATACGACATCATCATCAAGGAATCATCAATCAATCGATCATAACAACAACAACAGCAACAACAAAACAGCGATAATAGGTTGTCAGCTAATAACAATAATATGATGATGACTAATCCCTCAGATTTATTATCTTCTTCTTATTATTATCATTGTTATTGTCGAATTCCATCACCTGTAGATATTGAGCTTAGCGATCCAGAAGGATGTTCATTGAATACAATGACATATTGTTCATCTGCAACAACATTATCCACTATGACACCACATAAATGGCGCCAACGATGTTCATGTTCCGGTTCACCAACAAATTCAATGCTTTTAGCATTAAATAAAATTGTCGATCAGATTGATTCAACACCAACATTCGATGAACGAAAAACAAATTTTTTTCCCATTATCAATCACCAACAACCATCAATCAATCGAAATAGCCGAATGATTGCATCGATCGATGATCTATCATCACTTAATTCATATCAATCTGAATCATCATCATCATCATTGCCGCAGAAATTAAAAACGTCACAAACGATCACGATAGATTTATGGCCAGATTATAAACATAATAACAACAATAATGAAAACATCAAGCACAATAATAATATGGCTAGAAAACCAATTTATCAAATAAATTATGGCAATAATTATCATCATTCTAATAATAACAACAACCAAACAATGTCACATTTATCAATTAATAATAATTATAATCATCAAAATCATAAAACATCTTCAACAACAAAGATTGGAAATAATTCTTTCATCATCATCATCGTTTCCATTGTTGACGATGCCATCATTGAAGAATCTCCACCACCATCATCATCATTGATTGACTATTTTTGTTATTAATGATTATCAGAAATCTAAATAGATGTTCTATTTCATTTATGCCAAACAATATTTATTGATTATAGATCGATCATCATCATTATATGTGATGATAATTTTTTTGTTGTTGTAAATTTTAATTAATTAATTAAAAAAATGTTAAACTACTATCAAAATGGCTATTGTTATTGTTGTTGATGATCGATAAAGTTGTTAAAAATGATTTGAATATTTTTTTTCTTTTCTGGTTTTGTAATAAAAATATTTAACAAACCTTGAACGTTATATGATGATTTATGATTTTTTTTTTGCTGAATAATTTTATTACACCACCAAATCATGGCCATATTTTTTTTGTTGTTGTTGTTGTTGTTGTTATGAATGTGGTCAACCAAGCGGCAAATGTACCGAATGGATCCAAATGAAACTCAAAGATGATTCAAGGTTATAACCTCTCTACCCATACACAATTCAGATAGGTTGTAATTATCATTTTTTTTTGTTTTGTTTGAAATGAATTATAAAACTTGTTCATCATTGGAACAAGAAAATTCCAATCACGTAATTTTGGTGACCATATGGATAATCAATTCAATTGGTTTATATTATGCAAATTTACAGAGCAGCAAACCAACAGTCGATAATCAATTTGATTGAAAAAATTTTATTATTATTTTTTTTTAATCATAATAACATAAATTTAATTCATTCAAATCATGAAAATCGAACAATAAATAAGGCTTTTTATCATTCATATCAAAAATTTCAAACAAAATATCCAAGTCCGGTTACCATCATGAATTTTTCTATAAACAATTCAGAATCAAGTACGGCAATATGTGCGGCACGACCAATCAATGAATTTGTATTACTATTCAATGCATGATGTACATCATAACGTATGATATTCAATTCTGGTCGTGACATAAAACGTTGTATAATGTTATCGGTCATTTCACGATATGCAATACCTATATATTTATTCAATATTAAATATGTAAATCTCCAGGTGTTTATTAATACATACCATATTCAGATTGATCATTGATGGCTGCATTACATAGTTCAATATGTGCCGAATGAATTGGAACATAATAATCCTGTGTAGAACCACATAGTAGAATATTACGAAAGAATTCTATTCCAGGTTTTTTGCTTAAACGATATAGAAATGTTTGTTTAATATCTGTTGCATCTTTCATCGAAAGTTGATTCAAAGATTGTGCTCGCTTGAATTTCTGAATAAACCATAGACCTATTAAATTAAGAAAATTTTAAATTTCATGAATTAAATATCCATCTAGGTTTGATTTACCCATATTGACAAGTCCACTTCGATTATATGCTAAACCTAGATGTGGACCACTAAGCGATAGAAAAGTATGAAACTTGTTGCGCCATCGTTTCAAAAAATCTGATCTTGAAATGGCTGCCCGTATGATTATGTTGCCCAATGAATGACCGATAAAACTTTTAGTATTAAATGTGATTAAAAATAGTAATACGATTCAGGATCAATGTTTGATTACCTAATTTTCGATGGTTTTGATTTCAACGTTGATATAAAATTTTCAATTTCATTTATCAAACGTTCTGTAAGCGTTTCTAGACTATCGAATGTTTCGCCTTGATTTCGTTGTGACATTAGAAATTCAAAATTATTTGTTGGTAAACCTATTTCCAGATAAGTTTTCACTAATCGTAAATCGGCACTATTTCCATCTAATCCATGTACACAAACGATCAAATGCAGGTCCCTAAATTTGAAAAGAACGTTAATCAATCGAAACAAAACTGATTAATAAATAACTTACTTGAATGATTTAAAATCAGCATCACATTGAAAATATGGTATGCGCGATGCAAGTGTAGAGAAATCACTGTAAAACATTAGATCTTGAACTTTATGAGCAATACTGTTACGAAATGTTTCCTTTTCACCAAGAAACGATATGAATTCCGTATCGAACAATGATACACGACGGAATGGTGGAGGTGTTGTAATTGATGTTTTTTGATTATCATCATCATTATTATTTTTCGATAATTTCGGTTGATCATCTTTTCTTGGCTCAGTCGATGTATGATCTGCTGTGGCGGTTGATGACGATGATTTCGTTACAACACAATTGATGGGCGTACGAATACATTTACATGGCCATGAATCATTCGCTCGTTTCGCATCGATCGATCCACAACATATAAGACAATGATCTGATTGTAATAATTCCATGAATGTAAATTTTGTATGATTCAGATTGTTTGATTTTAGATAGATATCATCTTTTGATGATTCTAACAAATTTTTGTTTGAATTTTTGAGATCGACAATTTGTTTAGCTAGGCTATCATCCACTGTAGATTCATTTGTTGTTGATGCTGTTGATGTTGTTGTTTTGATTTTCGTAAGATCTTGGAATGATAATGAATTGTTCATTTTTGAATGATGATTTAGTTGATTACTGAAAACATCTTCGATTATAATTTTTGGATTGATACTGGTGGATTCCATATTTGATTGTTCATCATCGATGTTATTCTCTTGTTGATCAGTTGGTATTGGTTTCATACAGACTTCATGAGCCACCGGTTCATCAATCATTTCTTCCATAGCAAATTCTTTCGGTGGTTTTGGAAAATACATTGTACCGGGAAAATTCTGATAATTAACACAAGGAAATATGTCTAAAATTTTTGTCGAATTTTCCAAATCTTTATTTCGATGATGATTATGATGTTTTTTCTTACTATCATTGCTTGCTTTTTTCATTCCCTTCTCATCTGATATGATCGTTTTGGGTGAAAGTTCTGGCCATGAATGATTATTCGATGATTCTATTGTCAATGAAGATGGTTTTGATATTTCCGAATTAGAATTTTGCGATGACGATGATGATGGTGAATTGGTGAGTGGCTTTTTGAAAATTTTATCATTTTGAAAATCCATACTTAATTGTGAATAATTTTTGATCATATTATTTTTCTTCGTAAGAAATGAATTGAGCAATTTAATTTTTCGATTCATTTGTTCCAAGTCTATTTGATTGTTTTGTGTTTCATTCGTGAATAATTCTGATTTGTATAATTCAAATATTTCCATGGTTTTAATATTGGAATGACAATTTTTCTGTATTTTTTGATTTGAACATTTTTCACCACTACTTCCTGATGTTGATGATGGTTTACCATTATTATTGTTATTATGAATTGAATTATTTGAATTATTGAATCGTGAAAAAAATGAAAATCTCATCGAATTTGATTTAGGCGATGTAGATGATGATGTTGTGGTTGATGATGATAATGATAATTTTGATGGTGATTGAGCCGATTTGATGGATTTTTTTTGATCACCATTTTCCAACACTATTGGTTCTGATTGTTTGGTGTATTGGAATTTTTCTTCAAATATTATTGGCAATGTATTGTAATCACCATCCAAATGTATACATTCAACATCACATGGTGGTAGATTTATAAAATATGATGATTTCCTTAGATTATCACTTAATTCTAGAAATAAATTTGAATTTTGATCGCAAAGTGAGCCATTAAGATTCATTCGTGGATGTTCAATCAGGAAAAAACCTTCAGAAAAACGTCTGATACGTTGAAAATGATGTAATTTGGCCAAATGTTGATTGATACGTTCAGAATTCTGTACAAGCATTAGGAAACGTTGCCATTGTTCAATGGTTAATCCACAAAGATGTGCAACATCATGTTCAATTGTGTCGATAATATCATCCAATTTTTTTCGTTCCAATCCATCCGTTAAACAGGAATGGAAATTATTTTCAGGAAATTTTTTGGCAAATAATTCTTCCATAACATTTTCTACATTTAAATTACTATGAACATCATTGAGATGATTTTGTATTTGTCGAAAACAATCACCGGATAATTCACTGAAATTGTCAAGAGAAACTTTTACAAACAATCGGTCATAATTGATTTTTGCTTGATGCCAAGGTGTTAATATTCGATAATATTCATCCAGTGCACGTTTAAGATTCAATAATGATAATGACATTATCGATACCAATTTCCATTGTGCCAATTGAATACGCCATAATTGTAACATGAATTGATTGTTATCGATTTTTTTACCATTCATTCCATCCGTTGATTGTTTCAATAAACTTGATAACCAATTTGTTGATGTTGTCGATGTGAATGAATTGGTATTCTTTGATGTCAATAGGGATGATGACGATGATGATGATGATGATGATGAAATATATGGTTGGCACAATTGAACAAGACAACCATGTAAAGAAATGGTTACTGCTGAAAGATGGAAATAATCAAATATCACAGGCAACGAATAATGTATTCCACGACATAGATCAAAATGAATACGTAATTGTCTTGTAGATACACAGATCATTGTATCATATTGGTTGAGTATAAATTCTTGATCTGAATACCATAATTCAACATTTAATTCGATATTTGTTTTTTGCATTTGTTCCATACAATTCATTATATCTAAACAGATATTCATACGATATGATACCGTATCATTTAATAATATTTCTTCGTTTTTATAATTAATTTGAAATGTTTTCGATGTAGCCATTCCATTGATTATACATGATGGTAATAATATTCCAACATTACCATTAGATTCGTCATTATTATTATGAGGAAATTCAGTGTGAGGTATGAAATTGGAAAATGATGAATCACTTTTCGTTGCACGAAGATAGTTTAGATTTGTTCGATTCAGATGATTTAGTTCAATTTTATTTACCAATTTACAATTGGGTAATTTTAATGATAAACGAATTTGATAGAATCTATGGTGTATTGAAAAAGAAATTGAAAATTATTAATCAAATTCAATACATTAAAAAAAAGATACGATACCCTCGTTGAAAAAGATCAATATTGACAAATTTATTGATCTGTATGGAGAAATCAACGATGGCTTGCAATTCCGGCATCTTTTTTCCAAGGAAAATTTGTCAAATTTACTGAATTAAAAAAAAACATCCGAATCACTTGTAATGAATCGGTAATCCGAGACAAGAGTAGCTGGTGAATAAATAAATACAATGAAAAAAACAGGAATCACCCTAGTGGTGATGATGAATTCTTTTGCTATGATTCATTTTAACGCAGAATCAATATGAAAAAAAGAGAGAATATATCTCACGCTGAAAAGAATCGTTGAACCAATTCGATGCATGAAAATGTAAAGAATCTGGATATATTCGATTCCGTGATCAATATGAATTTCAAACGAAAGATGGCGCTTTAATCTACATTTTGAATTTGTTGTTTTTTTCGACAAAAACAAAAAAAAATCAACCATGGATATTCTATATATGAGATTTAAACAAACATTGAAAAAACTTGTTTACTAACGAATAAAAGAGAAAACATGGAATCCAGCTGTACTGATTCTATAGTTTGATTCTATATTCTTGTTTGATTTTCATTTTTAATTCAACGACAAATTGTCCAAAAAAAATGGAAAATTAAATATTTACAACAGTAGCAATAATAATAACAACAACAACAACAACGAAATGGAAAAAAAATGTGCCATTCAGCATGAATGATCATCAAATGAAATGGACTATTAAAAATTATATTCGGCTACCATTTTATTTTATTTATTTATTCTTATTTTTGACATCAATCAATAATGGATGAGATTAGAAAAAAGGTAAATGAAAAAAGTCCAGTGCGTACGATTCGAATGTGATTTCGACACGGCACACACACGCACACGTCGAATTCATAATTTTGATTCGAAAAATCTTTTTTTTTTTAAACGAGACATATTGATTATTGATACGAAGAAAAAATGAATGGATTGAATTCAAATCAAATTGAAAACAAATTACCCGAAAAAAATGAGTGAGAAATAAAGAGGGAGAGAGAGAGAAAAAATATTTGCACAGAGGAATTTCCCGAGTGATGATGATGATGATGAAAACCTGCTATTCGCAAATTATTTGGCGATGATGATTTTTTTTTGATGTAGAAAAAAATGCGGAAACGATTGGAGAGAAAAAAAAACCAATAATTCGGACACATTTTATCACATTGACATTTTATTTGCCTGACCATCTCATCATCATCATCATAAAGAGACGAAAAGATTCCCCCGCTTTCATATGTGTGTTTTCAAATATAGAAGAAAAAAAAATTACAAAATGAAAAAATTCCTCATTCACCATCACAACAAGAATTTATTCTATAATAACAATATATGATGATGGCTTGATTTTGTTTCAACATCTCTGTATGTGCGTTGCGTGTGTGTGTGTACAGAGAAAAACAAACAAACAAAACAAAAAAAGATTATGAATATATCAAGAATTTGAAAAAACTAAAATTTATGCAATTCAAACATAAACGAACTTCATCATCATCATCATCATCATGATGATGATCATCATTTATTAGTAGCCACTGTGAAAAAAAACGAGCTAAATTATAATCCCATCACCGGTTGTCACAAAACCAAACATAAACACACACACACACACACACACTGTCATTGTGGATCAGATGGAAAAAATATTTTTGATCATACAAAAAAAAATGTTGTTTTTTTCTTCAATCAATGCGTCTGTGTGTGTGTGTGTGTGTGATGTTCGAGGATGAAGGGATTTTGATTTTCTGGTGATGATGATGTTTTTTTTGGTTATTATTTGCTATGAGTGCTTTTTCTGCTGCTGCTGATGCTAAACTTTGAAATGAATGTAGAAGCAAAAAGAAAAAAAATTAGAAAATTCCCGTAAGTTATGCATAGTCATGTTGATGTTGATTATGATGATGATGATGATGATTGTTGGTGGTTAATATTTCTTAAACCAAAAAAACACCATCATCATCATCATCATAACGATAATAATTTTGTAATGTAAAGAAATTTGTTTTTTATTTTAGAATATATGAAACAACAACAAGTTAATCCAAGTTAATTAATCTTTCACATTCGAGATTATTGTGATGATAAAAAAAAATAGATGATGATGATGATGATTTTAGGCCAATAATTGGCCTTGATCTTACTTCATCCTACTCGTGTGTAATTTGATCATTTTTTTTTTTTGCTTTAAGCATCAACAATTCTTAATCGATCGATCATCATATACAATGTGGCCTAAAAGACAATTATTATATGATAATGATGATGATGATGATTGCATATAGCGGTGCAGAGGTTACTTGCATAAATCATCATCACTTTTATTTGTTAAAAAAAAAAAAACCTTGATAAACTATTGACCAGTACTTTTTATAATTTATTGATCAAGCAATTTATTGAAGAAAATGAAGAGGTAAAAATTAAGGTGAGGTTGTCGATATCCGGTCAATTCGAACTGTTATATATATATTTTTTTTTTTTTTTTTGGTTGTATACAAATATAAATTATTTGAAGCAATAAAACAAACAAACAAACAAACAGTGGGCAATAAAAATAATGAAAAACAGATGATTTTTTTCTTCCATCATTTTTTTCCAAAATGAGAACACGGAAAAAAATAATAACGAAGAATCCAAACTAATAATAATGAGCCAATAGTTCATTTTGGAACAAACAGAAAAAAATCGGGTTTGCTTCGAGCTAAACACACACACACACACAGAGACGAAAAAAATAAATGAACAAAAGATTCCGTTTTTTGCAAGTGGTTCTGCTGATTTTTTTTTCTTATTCTTTAACCAGAAAAAAAGATTGTCTCCTTGTGCAACCCAATGATGATGATGATGATGATGATGATGATGACAATTAAATGGAGCGAATGATTTTTTTTTGTTTCTCTTCATGATTTTCGGGTTCATGAAATTAGAATTTTTCAATACTACACACATATAAATTTGTATTTCAATCGACCGAAATGATGATGATGATGATGATGTTGTCGGTCAGTTTTTTCTTTATTGTTATTGGTCATTGTCCATTTTGTTCATCAATAACATTATGGCATTGAATTGTGAAAAAAAAGTTTTCAACAACAACAATCCTCGTACTTACCTCGACTGTGATTCAAGTATTTATCTGTTTTTTTTTGTCTTTCTCCACTGATTATTCGAGATGGTTGAACTTGTTTTTTTATTATTATTATTTTGTTTTGTTTATAATCATTTACCTGGGCACACACACACACAAAGACCAATTTATTATTATTTTTTTCAATCTGGCATCTTTGAAGAGTCGATAATCGTAAAACTATGGCAAATATGGTGATGAAAATCCATAAATGTATCACATTCAATTTCACAGTTGAATTCATCTTCTTTTTTTTCCGTCCCTGTACAATTTATTCGGTCATGATGGCATTGTGGTTTTTTGTGAAAAGAAAAAAAAATTGTGAAAATGAAATATGAAAACTTGGCTCACCGGAATAATTCTAATAATAAACATAAACATAACTGGACAACCATTATTATTGAGGTGAAAATAGTCGTACATGTGTGCTCGATATCGTTTATTTTGTTTTTTTTTCATTTGATCAACAATCAATAAATTATATTGGCAAGATCGAAATCAATATTTTTCATAGATACAATCAAGTGAAATAAGATTGTAAAAAAAATTGTTCATGTTTCATTTGTTCAAAGATATCGATCCAAAATCTATTTATTATTACCATTTTCAATTTGAAAATGTGAACTTGAATTTTTGTTTTCTATTAGTTCAAAAAAGTTCTTATCATCATCTGATTGAATTATGATCATCGGTTGTTGTTGTTGTTGTTGTTTTCTCTCTCTCTCTCGATGATTCCTCATTTGTTATATAACCAGATTTATGACAACAACAACAACAACAACAAAACCAGGAAAAAAAACTAGTACAACTTTGTTGTTGTCCAACTTGTTCTTATACCGATCGATTATTGTGTATGATCGAACTGAATGAATGAATCTTCTTCTTTTTTTTCACATCTATATGGTCAAGATATCTGTAGAGAATATAGAGCCCAAAATGGTCATCATCATCATCATCATCATTATCAATAAACTTTGAACCTGAATCGAAAGAGAGAGAGAGAGAAAGAAAAAAAAATTAGGTTAACGAGATAGATATTCGACAAACAAGTGCATAATAATAAAGCTATATGTATATATACAAAAGGTCATCATTTTTACGGTAGTTTCGAATTTCAAGTTTTTTTTTTACCCCTGCCCCTCATTTTTCATCATCATCGTCTATTTCAATCATTGATCATCACATATTTTTATATACCTGACCTCAGACGGTAATGACCGAATAAATGAAATTTAGTAGAAAGAATAAGAAAAAAAAACTTAATCAAATATTAACACATCTTCCTACACACTAGAAATAATAAAATGATGATTTAAACCGGTAAATAAAATGAATGATTGAAGACATCATCACTATACAAAAAAAATGGAAAAAAAGATGCTACCAAGCCATCCATATTGTTCATATAGAGGTGTTTTTTTTCTCCTATTGTCCATTGTTATTCCCGCCATTTTTACCTGTGTGTCAATGTGTTTAAAAACACACACACACACACAACAAACACATGACAAATGAAATTGAATTCAACACACTCACAACAAACAAACAAGAGATGAAAAGAGAAGAGAAGACATTTTTTTCCATTTACTTTACGGTAAATTTATATATACCGACATTGTCAACTCTATAAGGATCAAAAATTATAAAAATCGGGTATTCAGGTATTCTTTTCTTTTGTTTTTTGTTTGTTTGTTTGTCCGTTTCGATTTGATCATGAGAATTGAATTTCAAAAATTTTTTTTTCAATGTTATTGTCCGCGGTGGTGCCTACTATACTACTACCTGTGCTTGTGAATGATTTATAATGATTTTTTGTTTTGTTTTTTGTTCATAGTGCATGTGTGTATACACCGTTGGATTATTTGGTTCATGACGGCACACACACACACACACACATATGGTGCGATAACAATTTGAAATATTTTTACCAAAAAAAAAAAAAAAAAAAAAATGTTCCAAATAATTTTCCCAAGTCCCGAGTAATTTCGTCCGTAAATATTCAAATATGGGTTGAGCTGTGTCGAGTCGAGTCGGTCTTTCGGTGTGTGTGTGTGACAAAAATCTAATGGAGAAAACAGATGACCACCATGAAAAATATGCTACTTAGATGGTTCAGATTTGGCCAAAATATTCATCGGGTTCCAAGGAGAA